GGTCTGCTCCCGCCCACGGCCCGCGACCGGCTCTGCGCTACTGCTCCTGCACACGCCGCTCTCACCTCCCCAGCAACACTCGTGGGAGAGAGCTGTAAATAACTATGGAGAGATGCATTTTTACACCACATTTATTTACTGGCTATTTCAAGGGGGCTGGGGTCCCCAGGGAAGCTCTCTGAAGGGTTCGCTCTGATGCAGGACACACTGACCCCTGAACTCTGCTCACCCTCTCCTCTTACCCCCGGCCTGCTCGTGGTAGGGGGCAGCCCCCTGGCTAGGTGCTGACAAGAAGAACTTTGGGGGCTCCTGGATTTGGTGTCAGCATATCAGTGAGCTCTGTGCTAACCAAACCCCAGCTGGGTTTCCTGAGCAGACTTGGAGGATGCCAAGGGGAAAATACAAAACAGCTCAGGATGCATCTTGCAGCACAAGCTCTGCCCTCCCCTCCAAACACCGCCCTAACAGCAGAGCCACTGGCTGGAAACTTGGGATGGCAATGGCTTTTCTTCTGCTAGCAGGAGATTAGGCAAAATGATGGTTCCTCTGCCACTCACAAGGCTTCCCTTCCCTCCCTTTTCCCCAAAACCTGGGCACAGGGAATAAAAATAAGAATGAACGCTTCACTTAGATGAATAGCTACAACAAAAAACCCCCTCAAAACCTAGAAAAAACCCCACACAAGCAAGACAAATCCTGTTTTTACAGAGCAGGAGGCTGGGAACCACCCACATATTTGTCACTGAAGGCAAGAAATTTGGATGTCTCAGGAGAAACCTAACTGTCAGATATGCCACCCTCGACCCATCTCACCCCAGCTGCCCCCTGCCATCAGGAATGGGGGTGGTCCTGTCCCTCCGCTCTCCAACAGTGCCTGCAGAATGGGGATACAGGGTGGGCTGTGCGTTGGGGATGGCACAGGTAAGGAGCAGGCAGCCCTCTGATCTCCTTCTCCACCTCCAATAGCCACCCTGGTGCAGGGGAATGAAAGCAGCACATCCCTTGCCTCCCCAAGCAGCTGCTGCCCCTCACCTGTCTGTATGGGGGGTGGCAGTGTGGGACACCCCACGGGGGCTGCTGCTGGCTCCCTGTGAGCTTCACTGATAACCCACCACTGTCTCCCACCACAGACCCAGCTGGGCAAGCTGCTCTAGACCCAAACGTGACCCACCACCATCCCCGAAGGATCAGCAACACCTCGCCTGTGCTTGACAGCACCAGGGTGCAGGGCTGACCCCTGCAAAGATCATGGGGATGCTCGCTGTGTAGAGACCACTTGTGTTTACACTTGATGACATTCTCTGCTTACACAGCGCCTTGCTCCAGCGAGAGATTTATGGGTGAACAGCCTCTCACACCACTGATATGCACCAGGCCCCACCAGTGGAAACTGGGGTGGGGAAAGGGGGCAGGTGCCAGGGATGCCAACAGCTCCTAAGTCTCAAGAGAGCAGGAGGAAGGTTTCCTCCTGGTGGCTGCAAATTGTCCAGTGGACGACTGGGAGCACAAAGGGCGGTCTGGCCATAGAGAAGCATGTGCCCAGCCTGCAGCCCTTGCCCTTTGCCCATGCACCTCTGTCTGCCTGGGGATGGAGGGAAGCAGCATGATGTGCTCCAGATGATCCCGCTTGTGGGAAGGATCCCTGGGGGACCTTAAAGAAGCTGGAAGCCAACCCTTGCTTGGCCCTGACCCACTTCAGATGTCCCTGTGCAACAGCCAGGGCTGCAAGCGTGAGGGGTGGTGCAGAGCCCTTCCTCAGCCCCTGTTTCCGCACTGCATGGCCCTGCTGAAGAGATAGCAGAAGTCTGGAGAGTTCATTTAGCAACTGAAGTCATTAAGGAATCACACTCAGTTGTCTCTAAGCCCTTAAGAAGCCAATTCCCAACATTAATGATTGTTCTTCCTTACATTGCCAGACACTAAATATAGCTGCCCATCCACTCAGCACACAGCACTGATGTTATCTGCTCTGTTTTTACTGGCTCTACTGCTCTCTGGAAGTTTTCTGTTATATCAGTGGAAAAGTTCATTGCTCAGGGAGATGGAAAAAAAAAATTCATCTTCCTAACTTAATAATTTTTCCACTCCCCTTTGCCTTCCACCACACATACACACACTTGCCCTTCCTCATTTATTCACTAGTGCTCTCATCTTAATATAAGAACTGCCTCCTGCTGTTGCTGTCAAGTTTTTGGCTGCTGTGTTTATAGCACAGCTTGGGACACCAGTCAGTGAAAACCAGATTTAATCCCTACAGGGTGGATATTTCATGTGGGTGTGCTGCTGGCATTCATACCTCCCACCTGTCCAGGTACAGCCCCATCCTCTTTCCAATAGGAAAGACTCTACAGTGACCGGTTTTGGAGCTCTGCAGCAAGAATCAAAACCCAAAAGAAGGAAAAGCAGAAATCATCTTGGGAAGAAAAGGAGAAAATCTTTTCCAAAGAGCTTCCTAAAGGGCTGCCTGCCTTGCTCTGCCACTTCCATGTCACAGCTCGTATTCCTTTCTGAAATCACTGACATTACCTGTTGTGGACAAGTAACACAGCTGGACTTTTCATAGATGGTACAGATGAAAGCAAGTATTACACTTATCTAATCTGAATGCCACAAAACCAGTGTCAGCCTCAACCCCATAACTGCCACCTGTTATTTCTCCAGGAAGATGTCTCTATCTTGATTTCAGGATACCTAGTATGAGAGAATCCATCAGTCCCAAAGGCAAATTCTTCCCATGGTTTGTCTCCACATTCTTTGGAATACATCTCTTATTTTTAGCCTGATATTTATCTAATTCCTTGCTTCCAGACACTTGTTATACCCTTTCTTTAAGGGCGAAATGCATCAACTCTCAAATGCAGCACAGTTTAAACACACTTTACTGGTCTTGTAAGATCCCGACCCACTAGTGAAACGTATTCCACCTACACAGTTCTCTTCTTATTATTTGCCTTGTGATCCTGGAGCCTGTAAGGTGCATATTTTCAGCTCTGCTCACAAGCCAGGAGAGGAAGGATTTGCTATTATTTTTAATGGCATCTGACTTTGTCAGCTCATCATGTAATTGCAGGGGTGGGGGCTACAGAACATCTCAGTAATTTCTGCAAAGTCTTTCCTCTCCAGCTCCTTTTTCTCCAGCCAGGGATTTCTTCCCCTCATTTTACCCTCTCCTTCTGCTGGGCATCTGTGTCTTTCCCTCATTTTAATCATTATCATGTAATTGACTCCAGTCTTCACTTCTTCATCTTTTCCCTCTGTATTTTGCTCTTTCCCAGGTCACTCCATCCCTCCGTGCCATCCGTTCCTGCCTGTCATCCAGGGAAACCTTCTCAATCTTTTTCTGCAATTGCTCCCCTGTCAGGACTAATCCTAGGATGTCCTTGAGGAAGCCAGGAATTGACAGGAGCCACTAGAACAAGCTGACAAGTTCCAGTGTGAAGAGGAGGTGTGCCCTGTGATGCTCAGGGACCTCACTGTTGCAACCCAGCCAGTGTGCCCTGGGGAATAGGATGGGGAAATAGAGGCACACAGGCAGCAAGGCATGGGGTGAAAGGAAAAAGAAACAATATGAGTTAGAAGCACTTTAGAACAGACTCAGTGTGAGGACCCATCGAGAGGTTCAAACTGAAGATAACACACATTTAACAAAAGACAAGGATGGTGTTCACAAAATAGATACCAGACCAGGCTTAGGAGAACAAAGAGCAATGGTGTACGTAAGGAAGGGTTGCGAGGCTTTAACTGTCAGCTGAGAATACTGCAGCAGCTTTTCAGTAACATCACAAGCCTGAATATCAGATAAATAAGGAGCCTAATAAATAAGCAAACTTGAATTCCTAGATGTTACAGTACGGGTATGACTGTAAAATACAGTGTTACACGCTGCACTTGTCTCTCACGTTGGGAACACTCCACAGCCTGCATCCCCAGGGACGGGGTTGACTTCAGTCTCTTTGTTTACTTTTCCTTTACTGCCACAGATCCCAATGGACATACCACAAGAGAGACAGTTTTGCCCACATGGAAATGCAGTTGCTTCTAGGGTAGAATCCAGCCATACCTTACAGTTCACCAGCATAGTAGGGGTTCAAGCAAAAGCAAATGGCATGTTGATTGAATTGACAAAACAACTTTAAAGTTAAGAGAAGCCCCAGTTTTGCTCCTCATCACAATACAACCCTCAGACACATTGCTGAAGAGGCAGGCAGGAAAACAGAATCCAAAATCAAAACACAGGGAACCCCCCGCTAGACTAAACTCATCTTCTCTGCAAAAGCAGATAGCTTTTCCCACCCCAGAGCAAGACAAACAGCATCCCCACCAGCTGCTCAAAGGGAAAGGCAGTTTTTCAGAGTTCCTCACCTTTTCTCTTACCCTGTAGGTTTGATCAGAGAAATACTGGTTTCTATGCTCCAGGCTAGTATTAAGCTATTAAATGCACCATTTCACCTTGTTTTCCTTTTATTGACTGTCACCTTCAGAGCTCCTCAAGGCAATTTGCTCTCCCACTTCTACCTCCCAACTCCTTTCCCCTTCCAAGCAGACCAGTCCCACCTTCCTTCACCAGCATGTCAAACACCACCACTGCCAGACCATCTATGAACTAGAGAACCACCTTCCCTCACCATAACATGAGTTACCGCCACCAGATTTCACTTTAATTGGCTACTGGGTTTTTTTTTCATTTAAGTCAGTTGAAAACTACTCCTCAGCCTTCCCATTTTGGGCTTAGCTGCTCTTCAGGAGGCTGAGTGCCTCTTGTGATGGTTTCCTAATGCAATTCAGTCCCAAGACAGGGGGACTTGCCTGCTTGCCTGCCCTGTCACCTAGCAGGAGTCAGAGGGTGCCACCTTCTGCTGCTTTGGTGGGGGAGGTTTAGTACACACTTGCCATTTCAGTGCTCAGATCATTTGCTGTTTGTACAAGCACACACATTGCTTTCCTTCGATGTAAAAGCCCATGCCAGCAGAATAAAACCACCGAGAGAAGTGCAGTTTTACCTGGAAAGTAGGAGTTTTCACCTGGGAAAGCCGTGATGGGTTCTGCAGAGGACAAATAAAAACTGGTATTAGAGAGGGGAGTATTACACACAAGGCCGCTTGTTCATGTCTCTGTTGATTTGCAATGGCCAAGCAGAGCAGGCATGGGGCTGTGTCCCACAGAAGCCACTCACTGGGAACAGCACAGAGAGTCAGCCAACTTCACCAGGATAGGGAGAAACCCGTCTCAGCTGGGGACCAGCCAGATGCAATAAACTTTGACTTAGCCACAGACTTCAGAGAAAAATATGTCTGAGGTTGAGGGTCATTTGGATCAATCCTGGCTGGTCTGAGTCATCCAATGACAAAGCCTCACCTGGCCCAGTGATGAAACCCTGAAACCCCCTAAATTTCCCAAAGTGGTTTGGTTTCTGGCTCAACTCTGGCACCCATTATTCATACGGGAACTATGTTACTTCTGGGCAGTGATGCCATGCTGCCCTCCATCTCACAGTGACGAGAAACAAAGGCAAGTGATTTTTTTCCTTCTTTTTAGATACTTTGAAGATGTAATCTACTACAAATTACTGGATCTGAAAAGCAATAATTGGTACTTACTACTGATTACTTTCTTGCAGGAGTAATAGACTTTTGATTATTTTTAGATTACTTCTGCATTATGCCTGTGAGTCACAGAAGCAGACTGGCTGTACTGAGTGTTAGGAAATCATCACTCGGGTTCAAAATGCGAATGACACATTTGTCAAAGGAAAAAAATTATTGTGACTTATTAGCGTTCTTTCATGCTAAAAAGGAATCAGATTACTTCCAAGGATTATGTCTGAAAAGACAGTAGCTTGTGCTGGAGTCAGCTATTTTCATGGCTCTGACAGAGAGAGAGCAGCACTGCATCTCTACCATTTCATTATTATTTTGGTGAAATCAGAAATGACCCTTTCGTTATATTAAAGTTTGCAGTGGGACCCCTTTGCTGGAAGTGATCTGAAACAAATGTTCCTTATGGGTTATAAGATCCACATTCAACCTCCTAGACTGGGAAAATAATTTTGTGTAGCAGTTTGGTGTTATTTTTAGGGCTGGCAATGCTTGAAACTTTGTAATTTATTAATGCTTTTGTTTTTAAAATATTAAGCTTTAGGTTCATGAGGCCCGAGATGCAGTAACACTGGAGATAGGTGAATTGCTGAGCTCAAAAGAAGTTAGATAGAAAATGCTATTAGTGTTAATCATTGGTCTTGCTTCTCTTTAATGCCATAGAAGGCAAGGGATTAAAACACCACAGTCAAGCCTTAAATACAGGGAATTTGACATCTGAAGTATTAGCTCCTTTGGCAGATGGGAGACCAGCAGAGTTCAAAGCATCAAAGAAACTGGGACTGATAGCACTCAAGAGCATTTCTGGGGCAGTCCTAGTCCTCTGTTCTATTATCAGTGCTGGTTCCTGCACCGTCTTCACCATTGCTTGTCTGCACACGGTGGCAAGCGATGGGACCAGCCTTTCTCAAGCACAATTTGTCTGGTGCTTCCTCCCCTGAGAAACACCTTTTTGAAGAGAGTGTTTGAGTAAGGAGGCACTGGGATCCTTCCTTGGTGGGGGAGAGGAAAGCAGCTTCCTTGAACGGGGCCTTTCAAAGCCCAAAAGGGAGAGAGGCTCTGCTCCACTGACTTTTTCCATTACCTTCAGGATGGGTTGGACACCTTGCAGGTGTTCAGCAGTAAAACATGCCTCCCCCAGGTCGTGTGGAAGAGCAGGACCTAGTTACTTTGGGCAGGTCTCAGCGCAGATCCCTCTAATTTAATACTGCTGGTCCCATGCTCCACTGGGATACCCCTAAATCCACACCCAAGCTAGATGGCAACCAGAGCCATCAGAGTGCCTGCATGGACATGCCAGCTAGAGGAGAAGGGCAGGGCAATGGCTCCACCAGCAAACTGCTGGACACACTTTTTTTGCTACCTTTTTTTTTTTTTCCCCAAGTCCTCTCTGTCTTTTACATTGAATTATTCCACCTGGCTTTTGGCCTGGTTTGAGGAACAGTGAATTCTAGGACAAAAATTTCCTTTGTTATTCTGTTAACATTGCTGTAAAACCCCTCTGCTATTTTCTTTCTTGTTAGAGAAGACTCCTTTTGAACTCATCGGCCCCTCTAAGCATGTAATACTGACTGACAGCTGGTTTCTTTTGTCAAGCGCTTTCCTTTTAAATTCAGTGTATGTCCTTATCACACAGAATAGTCCCCAGTAACCGTCAGCGCTGCTCTTTTGGCTTTGCGTGGCAGAGACATGTGCTTCTGTCCTCTCACACCAACGCAGAGCCCCCGTCCCCCAGAGACTGAGTCCCCCTCATTTCCTTTATGGGCAAGGGATGTCCCAGCTGAGATTCAGAAACTCCTGGTAACTCAAGCACAGGAGAGGTGTCCCACTGACACCTTGTGAGCAAAGGCCTTCCAGCCCCAGCTGCCCCCACCCCCATCCCTGACCCCGTGGCTGGATGCAGCACATACCCATGCAGTTCTCCAGCGGGATGTCAGTGCCGAGCCGGATGTCATCAAGGGCGAGCTCTCCTGAGTGGCCATTGCGTATAAATCCCTCAAACACAATCTGTGAGAAATTGGGACAGAAATGTCAGTGCTGAGCTGGGAAGCAGAGAGTGGTTGCTGTTCCCAAGGGAAAGTAGGGGAAATCTGCTCCTGGCTTTCCCTGCATACCTGTGGATCACTTGAGTCTAGTCCTGCTTCCTTGCCCTGCCTCTGTCACCCCTTCCCCAGGGAAATCTGATGTGCAGGGATGGGTTTGGCAGAAAGATCTTTACCTGGCAGCACTTGGCTTGATTTTGTTCACTTAAGTGCTTCTTATAAGGAATAAAGACTCAGTGAACCCCCCTGGCCCTTACACAAATGGTTCAGGTGGCATAACACTGAGTTGCAGCAGCTTTGGCCCATGGTATCAACCAGACTATGATCAGAAAAAGGAAGGGAAGGACACAAAATGCACAGCTACATTAACTGTAAAGTGATGTTCCCAGCAACATTACATAAGAAGTATTGAAATGTTAAGAGGAGAAGGGTCAATTTATTCCTACTTAATCACAGGCAAAATATATTTACGAAAATAAGTAGAGTCGTTAGCTGTAAGAACTGCTGAGTGGAGACACTTGCAGTATTTACATAATGATGCCGTTATTCAGCTAATGCTGGTATATTCATGTTTAACACATAAAGTAGTCAGCCAGTGCCCATCATTCTTATATAGGCATATTGTGTTTACCAGTATTTTATTAAAAAGCCAAACCCATACAAGCGAACTAGACACGCAGCTCCAATGCAAAGCTTTTGCTTTTTATCTCCTTGCCTGCTCTCAAGGCATTGGAATAGGCTGCCCTGGAAAGTGGTGGAATCACCATCCCTGGAACCACGTGGGTGTGGCACTTGAAGATATGGTTTCGTCCTGAACAAGGTGGTGCCTGAGTTAACGGCTGGACTTGATGATCTTGGTTGTCTTTTCCAACCTTAGTGATGCTATGATTCTAAGGGTCCAAACAATTTCTTAGGGCCATGTATTTCACAAACTTCCTCTCCCCATATTAGGTGCCCCCTTTCATCTGGGGTGCCTGGGATCCACATCAGCCTGCCAGGGACACCTCCCTGAAGGGCTGGGCATCTGACTGTGCAGGGGATGGAGTGTTTGAGCTGTGGGTCCCAACCGCGGGCCATCAAGCCACACAGGAAGCAGCAGTTTGGAGGGGTCAGTGGCCTGACAGCTGCAGCATCCTGGGTCAAGGTCAGGGCTGGGATCTGGCTGGAGCACGGCTCCCCACCGGGGTAGTCATTAAAGTGCCTGCAAGTATGTTTCCTTCTCCGTAGGAGGGTGCTGGATGCTGTGCTGATGCTCATTAGCAAGTGACAACAGTAGCCCTGGCTCTCTGGCAAACAGTACTCTGCCCAGAAGGGCTAACCTTGCCAAAGATGCTCCTGGAAGCAGCAGCCTCTCCACGGGGTGCTGGTACAGCTGCGCCAGAGGGGCTCAGGCGGCTGTGGCGAGCAGCACAGCTCCCTTCCTCCCTTCATCTCATCCCCTCTCTTCCACTGATCTCCTGACTGTGGGACAGGGCCTTGATCCCACAGCACTGCACCCAGCCCTCTCATCTGGTCTATGGTATCCGAGAAGTGGAATTACAAACAAGCTCACGTTCCCTCTTCCTTCTCCCATGTCAGCACTTGCAGCTGAGGCTGGAGAATGGCTGTTTGCTGACACCCTTAAGAGTTGGCTCTGCTCTGTCCCAGCTTCCCAGTTCTCCCGGTGCAGGGTTTGCTCCCTAGAGCTGAACGCCTGCCTCTGGTCAGACTATCTGATGACCATCAGTTGGAGGAAATGCACAAAACAAAGTGAAAAAAAACAACAACGGAGAGTATTTGCGAAGTGGGAGATCTGAGGAATATAAAAGGCAACAGGCTGAACAAAGGCCCAAGTCTGTGCAGAAGACAGGCACTCTTAGAATAACAAACAGTGTCGTTTTGTTACTATGGCAACTTCAGAAACACAATGAAAACAGCCACATTCTCTAATGATGAATGGGCCCTGGCTCTGAAACACTGAAATCAAGATGCTGGAGATGTCTACCTGGTCTAGCACACCTTTCCTGAGCATCTTACCCGGTACTCCATGTCGTAGCTTGGCAAGATGATGCGACCTTCCCTCCACTCCTCCCCTTGGTCCTCTGTGATGACCCACAGTGCCTTGTGCTCCTGGCTGGCTTCCCTCCAGACCCGTAGCATCACCCCATTGCTGCCCCATGCCTGGTACTGGAAAACCATGCAGACAGCGCTCTGGGGCAGGTAGATGGTGGGACTGATGAGTCGGGCTCGCTGTCCTTCCCGTCTTCCGCTGCTTTGCAGCTGCAGGTAGTTCTTGACATCTGTTCAGAGAGGAAAACACCATTATATTATTTTCTGCAGCCACTGGCAACAAGGGTCTCACGTCCTGCCAGGTGGCTTTGGCAGTGCTGGATGGCAGGGCAGCCCCATGCCTGCAGAAGTGGGGTCTCACACCGGCACCCTCTGTATGCCCCTCCACCTGTGCCACCGCTGCACCCTGTGCAGCCCAGGCAAGGCATCGAGCAGTACACTTCCCTCTCCAGCCACCACCCTCTGGTAGGAGACCAACAGCAAAACCAGAAAGCGCTAAGACGAAGACTGACATAGTTAGGAGAAGTTAAAGAGCAGGAGCAAGCTATTGTCAGAACAAGTGATGCCACGATAATTGCATTGGCAGGGGGTATGTGTATTATTCTTCTGGGAGCTTGCTCAGTGAACAAGCCTGAGGTGGGTTTTTCTAAACGCTGGTGCTGAAAACTCTTCTTGTTTTGAGGACACACACAACAAAATGAAACCCTGGCTCTCAATTTTTCCATAATGCAGGAAAAGAGCCTCTAAAGCACAGCACAGAGGAAGGACATGGTCCCAGTGAGTGAAGCATGCACAGGTGACGACTGGGTGGTTGCAAACTTGAAGGTAGCTGATAAACAATACAGCAGAGGGTTCACTTGCTTTAATACTACATTTAAATTGTGCCATGCTTTTTGTCAGTCCTTGGAGAGGAGATTTGATACGTTTGATATCCCAGGGGAAGTTTAAGGCTGAGACTGGAACTGGAGATATTTGATCTGAATACCAATAGCAGCAGAGCTCATGGATACAAATCCCAGGGCATAGCTGACTTCATCTGGAATCAGTGGTTTCCAGCCCTCTCTGATGAGAAGCCTCCTCAAGGAGTTTCCCATTTGCTGCTTGGATGTCTGAAGTCCCTTAGCACAGACTGAAAGCCAAGGCAAGCTGAAGCGATCCTTACCTGTCCCCCCATCATGACCAATGTCAGGACAGAGTCCCTTGTGTTGCTCCGACTGCAGTGCCTGCAGTGCAAGGGGATACAGACAGGCCAACTACAGATATTGCTGGATTTTGCATTTTGCTCAACAGAGGGATGCACAGACAGTACACTGCTCTTGCTAGACAGTGGGCAAGTGCCACTAGTGCTTCCTGCCAGAATGTGCCAGCCCTCCTGCAGCCTAGGAGGGTTATCTCTGCCCCAGGATCACAATGAAGGGTTGCTTCCTTTGCCCATATCTTAACCTGCTGTGCTTGCTGTTTTGCTTGATGGGCAAGGCTCTGAGCAGCAGCTTGCCTCCTGCTTGCCCTGCTCCCTCAGCAGCTTCAGTGCCCATAGCAATGGCAAGAACAGCAGCATTTGCACTCAGAATGTTTGCAAAACACACTCAGAACACCTTCAAAACTTAAACCAGAGAGACTCGAACTTGGAATCCATTGAAAGACAGGTCCTACCCAGAAAATGGCAGCTGACCTCACTGCTGCTCAGCAATCAGGTGATCCCAGCCCAGAGGAGACCTATCAATGGCCCTGGCCCTGCTGCAAGTTTGTCACTGCCAGAGAACTGAAACCAACCACTGTGAGCTGGTTTCTAAAATAAATTTAGGACAAGACAACAGGAATATCTGACATCAGTCAACTCCTGGGATGTATGATCAAAATATTTCAACAGTGTATCCACTCCTATGAACTTTCACTGATTTTACTGTATGAAGGACAAATCTGTCCCTGGCCACATAAAGAAAGAGCTACATTTTTTAGAAATATTTTTCAGTACCTGTGAAATGTACCTGGGCCACTTAGCACTTCACACCAACAAACAGTAGCAGAAAAAAGATGAAAGTGTGTTTGCCCACTCCTGCTTGAGTGAATCACTTGAAAAAGTACCATGCCGTTCTCTAATGGAGGAGTGTTCTTGTGATTTACCTCAGAGTGGTAGTAGTGGAGGAGGAGATGTGGGAGATAAACAAGTGGAAGAAGAAAAAAAAAAGAACAAGCTGTACTCCATGCCTAAGGAGCGATAAGGCATAATAAGTCATCAAGGTCTCCTGAATTAAAATCCTCTTTTTGTAATTCACTACAAGCCTCTTCAAATAAAAAAGCAACAAGAAGAAAAAACAGCAACAACAAACAAGAGAGAAAATCAGAATGTGGTCATACACTTATCTCACAGCTGACATGGTCTCACGGGCAAATCTTTAATAAAAGCACCAGCCAGGCTCAAGAATGATCAAATCCAGATTCTCAAAGTTCAGGACCAACCTTTGGCAGCCTAGGCAGCCTGTCTGAGTGCAGGGATGTGAGCCATCCTTAGATCCACCCAAAGCCTACAGCTGACCACAGGGGACTATGCTAATTGTGCAGCTGGATACCTCCCATGGTCTGCACCCTGGGAGCTGGTGGGACCCAGTGTTGCTGCCTCTGCCACTTCAGCAGCAGAGCCTGTGTGCGTCTGAATCACATCCCTCCTGCCAGGGTTGACACCGCCCTTCTGTTTGTTCCCATTCTTATTAGACTGCCAAATGAAAATAACTCCCCAACTACAGCCAAAACCAATGCTCCTCTCAGCCACACAGGATCTTTTGGAGCCCAGGAACCCTCCATCTCCTGTGCTCCCTGCCCAATTCTTACTGGGGCCCACAGAGCTCTCCAGGCCTTACTGGTAGTCCCAAGGGCTGTGAGAAGGCTCAGTCTTCAGGTGATGAATCCAGCTGCTCCGCTGCAAGTAGCACTGGGTTGGGGCACCACACGCTCTCACTCCTGGTACCAGTTTCTGGAGTGAAAAGCTGAGCACAAGCAGGCGTGACTTTCTATGTCATTTGAAGATGAAGTGGCTGGATCACTCTAATGGCTAGCTGGACCTTTGGAAAAGCCCCACGAATTTGCTGAGACTGAGTGAATAAGGGCACAGTGGAGCTAATTGTTGGAACAGCATGTGGGAGCCTGGTGGTTCCAGTAGTCACTCTGTTTGATAGAGTAGATGGAAGCCTTTGGCACAGAAAGCACCTGAAAGGCTGATTTTCCCTGTTAAAACACTTGAAGGGAGCTTTGCAACGATGAGCTGATCAATTCTTCCAGGATCAGAAATGCATTTTAATCTCTTTCCCAGAACTTTGCTTTGCAGTCTCTATTCCAGCTAACATGACAGCTATATCCCCCACAGAACCGGCACTGGTAGTTCAAAGCACTGGCTCAAAAAAGGCAGGACAAACCTGCTCAGGCATTTTACCACTCTTTTGCAACTGAGCTATGGCATAAATCTCATGGAAGATTTATGGGATCATCTGGATGTAGGGGAGCCAGTAGTGTGAACATGGAACCACCCCAGCCAGATGACGGCAGAGCCCCTCATATGTGTATGGCAGCGAGTCCCAGATAAATCACCAGCTGGGGTCTGCAAACCAACCATCTGGCCCATGCAGTTTCCTCTTGGCGCACCTGTCCCCTCCTGCCAGGAAGCCATCTGAGAGGACATTAAGGGCAGCGGGGGATGAAGCCTCACAGTTTGGGTCAGGCTGCAAGCACAAGATACAGCAGCCACTCCCTCTGCAAGGTCAGCCTGCCTGTGCTTGGGTCCTGCACGTTTCACCCTGTCTCCCAAGGAAAGCACTTTCCCTCATGAATCTCAGCAGCACATCTGGAGGTGTTCCAGCAAAACATGTTGGGCAGCAAGTACACAAGCAACTACTGAGATTTGAGATGCCCTCCGCATTTCCCCCTCACTGGATATTGTTGAATTACAGCTGCCGCTCCCATGGAGGGACCACGCTGAATTGCCTTCACTTACGTCCCTCCAAAGGTCACTGCACTCTTCTTCATTGCAGAGCTTATTTCACGGTGTGCTTTAGTGGCAACACCACACTCCAACAGCCACCTCATCTGTCAAATCCCATAGGTGACAGCGCAGCTCCAGGCAGGGTCTGCTGCCTGCATAGCCCCAAATACCACCCCAACCATGCTGTGTCACGGACAAGGGGACATCCCAGGGGGGCCTGATCCTGCCATTCCTCTGGGCCATGTGAGTTGGAGGCTGCTTCAGCTTTTGCCATTCCCGGGAAGCAGATCCTCTCTGATCCCCTCATGACTGGGTGGTCTGGTAGCAAGGGAATGGCAGCTGCATGAATATGCAGATTGAAATTGGATAGTTATTATATTTTTAATTTTTTTGGCAAATCATGCAAATTCACCTTAAAAGGCTGCTGCTGTAATTTCAGTAACAGGCCTCTCCTCAGTGACAGACTTTCATTTACCAAATGAAGTCAATCCTCCATAAAGCTAATATTTATATTAACTAGATCATTGTGTCTGCTGGAAAATCCCCTCAATTTTGATTATGTGTTAATTAGCCTGCCAAGTCCTTGCCATTTCAGTCTCTAAATCAGTCCTTCAAAAGGCATAAAGTCCCACACTTGCCCAGAACCAATCTTTTCGCCTGCTCTCCGGAGCCTTTCTAATGGACTAGCCATTACATCCTCTCAGTTAAGCCTCACGTCCTCAACAGCACTGTGTAACTGTGAGTCCTACAGGAGCACAGGGAGGGCACAGTGTCCCTGACAAATCAAATGCCAATTAGAGCCTGACATTTATGCTAAGTGAGCTGCCTGTCACTGAGCTTCATACTCCATCCTCTGGCAGCCCAGCTGGCACCCTGCATGCCCCTACATGTAAGGGTGTGTGCAGACCCACCTGTGCCCAGCGTTTGTGCATGCGCAACTGCGGGCATCAACCACTTCCACTGCACAGTCTGCTCATTGCTGCTTGCTCGTGCCTGCACTCGCTTTCCCAAATCAGGGGCTGTGACTCACAGGCTGCTGAGGCACTGCTGCGAAGCGACAGAGTGGTGCCCACACTAAGGTTTGAGAGATGGTGGTGGCTTGTTTACCAGAGAGCATTCCAGCCTGGTTTTTTATGCAGTGTGTGTCACTGGTGTTTGGGTCCAAAAAGTGACTAAAGACTCAGGCAAGCAGTGAACAAATGGGTGAGCCCTAGAGGAATGGTTTCTTCTCTGCCTCCAGCTCCCAAGTGAGTGGGAGCTTTGCTGGAAATGCAGGGACAGACCATGGCCATACCCCATTCTCTCAAGAAAGACAGTACGGACACAAAGACAGCCACAGGCTGGCCCTAGCCTGCAGCCAGGAACTCCCACAGCCCAGCTGACACTCAGCAAATCTCCTGTGAGGTGCTGGGGTGTCCCAGCTCTACCATGCTGCGGGGTGGCCAGGGCACAAAGGACTTCAGCATTTGCTGTCCTCACTGTGCAAACAAGAGTCAGGAGAGACCTGTACCTCAGCTTTGCTGAGAGGCAATCTGCACCACACATGAGGGGACTGAGGAGAGACAGAGCTAGCTATGTGGTCTCCTTCCCACAGTGTGCAGCTGCTCACTCATTGCACAGAAGTGCTTGACTTTCACGCTACCCCACATATAAAACTCCCTCCTACTTCAAAGGAGACAGGATTGACCCTTGAGGTCAAAATGTGTCCCCAAGGCACAAGCCCTGAGATTCTCATGAGAGTAAGTGCAGACCCAGTTCAGTCCAGCCCTGCTTGTTAACACCATGAAAACTTTTCTGCTGGTTTGGACACAGTAGAATCAAGGCCTTCAGGCAGCAGTTCTCATGGACTGCAGGAAAAATATGAAACTTTCCCTTTTAAAGATCTCATGGGAAAAACACAAGAATGGTAAGGGGTCACCATCAGCTTAAAACCAGCTCAACATTTGTTTCTCTTAAAAAATAAGCTCTTACGAAACTTCAGAGCACTACAAACACTCCTCTGCTGAAAACACTTTGAAACAAATAAACCTTTCCCTGCAGTGCCCACAACCCAAACGAGCAGCATTCCTCACCCTCAAAGCCAGCCAGGCTGTGGCCCACAAGAGAAGCTCTCAGTGGGTTTTGCAGCCCAGCCCAAGAGCTGTGTGGTCAGGAGAGCTGCAAGGTTAAAAGTGCTTCCTTTATTGCGTGCATGTACAGCTGCCAACATCCAAACAACACGGGGTTCACAACGCTGCCAGGGCTCTGACCCTGGCGCCGTGCTCGCCCAAATGAGAAGCAGTACATGGTAAAGCTGCGGACCCCGCAGTGCTCTTCTAGGACCACAAGGTATTTACTTAAGCACTGCAAGAAAAGAGAAGGAAAAAAAATAGGCAAACCACACCCATTCCAGCTTTTCACTGCTGGCTTATTAGTGTAGCGTCACTGAGAGCAATGCAATCACACCTACCACCTAAGGAGATGACCCAGGATCTTTACACCCTTTAGGATCAAGACTCCACTGAAATTCAAAGATGGTGAAGAGTTGAGGTGCCCAAGTTATAAACTCAGATTTATTTTCAGGTCTTAAGACCTTTATCTTGACACCAATGGCATCCTGCCATTGCGTGCAGCACTCGGGGGAATGAAATCTCATTGAAACCTGAACTTGTTGCTCCTTGAAGCTTGCTAGGTGCAGCTAAGGGGAATCTTTCTAGGGATGGGAAGCATCTTAAAGTCCACAGAGGGAAAAATCCAGGCAATCTCTTGTGGGGGCATGGAAAAGGGAGCCAGTGATATTTTCTAGACTTGCAAAGGGCAGGTAGCAGTTGGAACCATGCTGGGCTTCTGCTGAGCTGGGCACTTTGAGTTCACTTTCACCAATGAGGTCCCCAGACGTGTAATGGGAGACTGCAGGAAAGGATGCTGGAGTTAATCCATGGTGCGAAGAGCCCAAGGAACACAGGGCTAAAAAAAGAAATGCAGAGCTGCCTGAAAGAGTATCTTGGAAATAAAAATAGTGGAATGAGAGCAGTGGGTGTCTTGTCAGTCTTGAGAAGTTCTCTGTGCCAAAGACAAGGAGGAATTGCATACAATGCATAAAATGAAATTGGGAGATATCTGAGGAACTCAGGCCTGTCTCTCAGCAGACTTTTCTAATCAAGTGTCTCACAGAGGATATTTCACCATGGTCATTTCCTTCCCCCTCTCTCTTATGTAGACTGAGCCAGGGCTCCTCCTTTCATTATTATTTTTTCCCTTTTAATTTTAATTTTTGTTTTGCCATTTTCAAAAGAAGCAGAAACACATTCCACATGGCTCTTAAAGGCACAGCATACTTCCTTGCTACTGCGGAGCAGCCAGGCCTCTAGCCAGGGCCAGCACCTTTAAATCAGAGCAAATTGGCCTCCAGCAGCTTTGAGTTCCCGTTAGCTTTTGCCCTGTCTCTAACCAAGCACAGCTGCTCTCCTTCACCCAACTGCTTACCCCAGGGTGGGGAATTCACAAGTAAAGACCACCCCGAACAACGGCTTTTCATTCCTTGCTCCCTGGAGTCTAAGCATGAATTTTCTGAGTAGAAAAAAGTGCTGGAGGGAGCACGAGGGAAAGGCAGGGGAAGAATGGGGGAGTGTGAACCAAACAATGCTTTGATTCTGTCCCCACCAAGGAGCTGGCATTGCCTCTTTTTCATGTTTCTAGAGTTGCTTTTAAAAGCTGCGCAGGGAGGAAAAAAGCAAATAGTTGCTTCCTTTTGTGTCATATCTTCTTAATTTCTAAGAGCAGGACCAAAGAGAGGCATAGCAGTGATGCCTTTGCATTCTGACCCCTCTGCAGCCCTGTGCTGCGTGGGCAAGGCAGTGGCACAGATGCCAGGAGAGCACACTGGTGTCTGCTGCTGACTTCCTCCGCTTGCTATGGGCAAGTCACTTCAGCCCCCTGGAGCCACTACCTCGTCCTTTTCCTTTGCCCGTACAGCCCGTGACTTGCCAGCAGTGCCTGAGTGCCTGCCTGCACCCCAACGCTGCTTCGGTGCCTGACTCTGCACAGCACTGTCAGGGAGAGCTCTCCCCACTCACACAAAAACAGATTACTGAACTCAGCAGCACAATAATCCCCAGCCCCAGCGATGAGACTTTGCAATTCATAACTGAGAAAAAGGAGAAGTAGAAGAAGTGTAAAAGACAGAACTGCACGCTGAGCTGTCTGAGGCAGCGCCAGCCTCTCCTGGGCTACAACAGAGTCTTCTAAGAAACTATGGCCAACTAATTGTAGGGAGACTCGAGGGAGAGGAAATGAAATGAAAAATTGAGTCTGAGTTATAAAAATAAGTAATTTTTATCCTACTTGCAGGAGACTTATATTAATTAAACATTATTACAGAGAATGAGATGGGGAGGGTTATTAAGTCTGGGGCTGGCTGTAAGTGTTCTCTCCTATTGCCTGAGGCTCCACTGAGTTCCAGATATTAATCTTCTAAAGCACTCAAAGGCTGAAGAGATAAACACTTGAAATATGAAAATATTTTTCTCCATAGCAGACACTGTGTCCCTATGCCACGCCAAAGAATTCGTCAGATGTCCATATGGGCTGCACTTACAGCATTACCGTGTCTCTTAGAAAAAAACTGAGCACCTCAGGAGCTGAAGAGAGAAATGATGTGTGCATTTGTGTGGGGGTGATTTGTGTGTGGAGATGTAGCAGATTCTCCTCTTCCCATATGTTTCTGGAATACATATTTTCCTCTTTAGCACTGCCTACCAGGTGTTGGCTGCATGGCTTTCCAACTGGCTGGCAGCACTGCCAATCTGGCCAGCGACTCTGCCAGGTGGCTAACAGGTTCGCCTGAATGTTTGCATCTCGAGACTCAACCTTACCAAGGGGAGGGCGAGGAGGAGCCCACGGCATGCACAGCTCCCTGGGAGCATGACATGCAGACACTGGAATCACCAGGCATCAGGGCAGAGCTGAGTACAGGTAAGATCAGCCAGCTCCCCTGGGGGGAGTCTTTAAGTTTCACGGGCAGTGACTGATAGTGAAGTGATGCTGCAGTGACGCAGTCTACTGTTATGAGGAAACTGGCAAATGTTCTTCAAGACAACCATGCCACAAAGTCAATGAGGGATACGGAAAGTGCACTAGTCCCAGAGTGAGTTCCAACATGTGAAGCTGAAAAACTTGATTTATCAACCATATTGCAAGGGGCAGACTCCCTTCCAACCCATGCCAGCACATCTCAGTAAGGTCCTCCATAAATTAGGCTCTGCCACACTCATGCAAATCTTCTGCTTCCAAAGCATGGAAGAGAAAAAAAGTCAAACAGCAAGAAGATGACATTTTCAGCATTCTTAGGGCTTAGCTAATCCTTCACTTGGAGGAGACTGAAATCTAGTTTATGCAAGCTCAGAGTACAGAACAGCTGAAGACTATAGGCAATCTGAGAAACATACGGGAGGAAGAAATGTATTCTGGGGAAAAAGCATTGAATCCTACAGAGGACATTTGGGTGAGGATGTGGAAGAAAGCCTGGGCTAAACGTTCACAGTCACAGGGGGTTCAAAACCCACTGCTGCATTCAAGGCTATCTCAAGAGAACAGTTAGTATAATTCAGTGCCAGTGGTCACAGTCCTATAAATAAATCATGAACCATACAGCAAAGCATCTGAGAGCTTCCATAAAAGAAAATGTTCAGCTCTTCACAGCCTTCAAAACTCACGATAGCTGTGCAATAATTATTTATACTGTTCACGTGGAGAAAGCCCCATCAACTCCCTCTTCCCTGCTTTGGTATTAACCATCTTACCAGGCACAGTCTCAGGGCTTGGTTCAGAGTTGCCAATCCAGGTGCTTGCAGGCTGAAAAGACCACGTGTAACCGGTTGCCAAGTCGTGTGACCAACCACAGAGGTCTTCAGGAAGATCAAAATTGCAGTTAAAGTTCGCAGGGAGCTGGAAATCTTATAAAAAGAAAGAGAAGCAAAATAAAGTTGGATTAAAAAATGACCTACCCATGAAGGGTTGCTATTAAAAACCGACTGAAAACTAAAATAGCTGGCAAGCCATCAATATTGAAGAAAGCATGAAATCTCACTCATACTGATGCTTTTAACCTATCTCACATTTCCTCAGCTCCAAGGATCAGCCTTAAGTTCTGTATCATCAAAATGTTCACACCATGTCCTGTGGCTAATCCACCAAACTAAGCAAATATAAAAGCAAGTACCAAATACCTCCAGACTCTAATCTAAGAACCTTCTCTTCATCCCCTAAAGTGGTCAATATTAAATACCTTTTTAAATGTCAGGGAAGAGTGCTTCCTGAGTGCCCCATGCTCAGCAGTTCCTGCTCTGACTCCAAAAGGAAAATCTCAAGTGCTCCAGAAACCCAGCTCCTGAGTGACAGATCTAGCCACTTGCACCAGACGGGAGCTGTCTGTCAAAGTGGAGAGCTGTCACTCACCGCTTCCTACCTTCTCATGGAAATGCTACCAGGGAAAATGTGGGGCCACCACGAGCTCAAGCTTTTGGATCCTGAGTGAAAGGAGACAGCCTCTATTTCCAGCTCTGCTATGGACTCATGGTCTTTGGGAGAGTCATTGAACTTCTCATCTGTGAAACAGGAGCAGAGCTAATTCCCCTGTGACAACAGCTTTGAAAGCTCTGGAGAGCTTTCCTGCAGAGACAGGGCTATGGGCAGGCGGGCACATGCCAGGGGCTGCATGTAACAGTGAGCCAGCTGCTGGCTCCCTTGGTTGAGGGAAGCAGTCATGAAGGCTCCAGAAATGGTCTGAATCCATCCCAAGCACTCAGCGGACACGCACGTCTGAGCCTAATTATAGGCCAGGTTATTCCCGAGCAAAGAGGAAGTTTTAAATCACAGTGCCCACAAAGTGGGCGATAGCCAGAAGGAGGTGAGTGACTCAAGTGATAGCCATCAAGGGAACTTTGCTGCAAGGGGCAGAGGGCTTTTTTTTTACATGCTCCCACTCCAAAATAAAACAATGCAGATCATGGATCCTTTTATTCCAATCTAATCTCATACCCTGGAGAGTAGCATTGTTTCTGTTTGGCTGTCATAAATCTGACTGTCCAGAGAAACACACTCATTGTTTTATGGAGTATGAGAATGAAAATTGTTGCTAAATATGAGGGAAGCTGACAGGGAGGCTGGTTCCACGCTCCACAGCATACTCCGCTTGCTCTCTTGCCCTGGACTGCACCCAGGAATCGTGTTGTTGCAGAGACTATTACTGGCCTAAATTTCCTCTCAGCAGTTTCCCAAGTGTCTCAACAGTTGCCTTATCACAGAGGCAAAGCAATGAGAATCAGGCCCTTTGAGCTACTTCTGCAACTTGCATTTCCAGAACTGAACTACAGCAGAATCCCTATGGGAAGTGTGAAAAAGCCAATTAATGTTCTTTTTAAAATTTATTTATTTAAAACCCATTAATTTTTCCTCTGGGACTGAAAGCTGAAGTGACAGAAGTCCTAGGAGCTATCTCAAAGGATAGTTAGTGTTGAAGTTCTTGTGTAAATGCTCCGGTCATGAGGTCCAGGCTCTACTGTTGTGCCCAGGGGAGTTGCATCTCCTGCACACTGCACTGTACAACTAACCTTGCTCAGTTCTGCCAAGCCCTATTCTCTTCATCTGGACATTTCACAAGCTTTAGATGCTCACATCACCCTTGCAAGGAGCAGAAGAATATGATGTCTGCTTGTACAGGTAGGGATCTGAGGCAGAGATTAGCCTCTCCAAGCACTCGCTCTTAACAAGCACAGCATGTAGTCCAAACTAACATTTGGCCTCTTCCATAGTCAGAAGAGCCAGGCAAGTGCCACAGACACCAAACCATTTCCTGTACATCTGACAGCCATCTAAGACTATGTGGATGAAATCCTGCCTAGAGTGTTAGTGTTCCTCTCTCTGCTGCCTGCACAAGGAGCCCAGGCTGTCCTCCTAACTTTTAAGCTGCTGATACAGATAAGCGTTCAGGACATCAGTCTTTGATAAACGTGATTTACTCCCACAGTTGGGACTTCTGCAAAGGAGCCCTGCATACCAGGCAGTCTGAATCTGTCCTCCGAATCACCTTCTGAATTTATGACATCCAGCCAAGGGGATCTGAAATGCAGGTGACTCTAAACAGGGCACTAAGTGAGTTTCTTCAGGTCAAGTAAGGAGGCTGAGTGAGCAGCTCTTTGTGACTTGGACCGTAGGGACAGAATTAGTTGCTATCTCTTGCTCTTCCATCCTGCCTTGATGTAACTTATCAGATTTTGGCAGGTTTTGTTTATGGGTTGGTTTGGTTTTTTTTTTCTTATCCTGGCCTATCAATAATAATATTACTCTAAGCTTTCCAGGAATCAGCCCTATGTATAGGAGCTAATACAGAGATAAGAGTATTTGCTTAGCTCTTAACCCATCACTTATTGAGATAAAGATGTGCTGCTCTGATACATACCCTCCTCGTCTCCACAGCTATCACCACACTCAGTTGCTTCTTCATCAGTTGGGTATGGGGTGGTGGTCTCTTCGCTCTTCAAGGTGGGCACCAGTGTCTCTGCAGTGGGCTTTACATCTGAAAGAAAAGGAGTAGAGATGCTGTTTGCAACAGACTGTACAAGAAGCCAAGGTAGTATGAAACAAAAGAAAAAGTCTTTTTCTCATGTTCTTAAAATGGCAGGAAGAGATAAAACAAGAATACCATGAAATTTCCACGTGCTACAAATGTCAGCATGGTTTGAACTTCAAGTGAACTGTGTGTTTCCATATGGGAGTTCTATGGATTTGGAGTTCCCCTCGGACACACTACTTTTTCCTCTTAATTTTTTAATCTACAGTCTGCACTGGTGTTGGCAATCCACTTAGCTGTCATTACTGGATAAGTGAGATCACAGGCAGAACATCCTTTTCTTTCATGAGGGCATATGACACGTTAAAAAAACACACACAACATTCCCAACAATTGTGCCAATTTATAAAACAAGTCACTCAAACCCACAAATGATGTAACCGCAAACGGACCCAGAGGATCCCCTAGTGTGCTCTGGCTCACTGCAGAAAGCATCTGGTTTCACACTTCAGGCTCCTGACTATGCCTTCAAAGGGTCTCTGTCCAATTTCCCTTTCTCCAATGTGGCCCATGTGAAACAACCTCCAAGCAGGTGTCAGGGGAAATTTAAGCAAGAAAGAGAAGGATATTAAGATCAACAGCAAATGACATTAGGTTCCAGCAAACTCTCCTTTTATGGGTGCATTAAGTGGAGTACAGCAGGCTTGATTCTTTCCACTTTTAAAAAGACCAGCTTTGCTCAGTTATGTGTGATTGTGTTTCTTTGTCGGCACCCTTCAGGATATCATTTAATAAAGCCTTAAGCAGGAGGAAATGGCTAAATACATTGAATATTTTCCATAGGTTCCTTTCAGCCCTTTCATTTTCCTGTTATTAAACATGTTGTACATAAACTCTCCGTGGTTTTTTTTACCTTTTTTTTTTTTTTTTTTCCCAGTGGCTGTCTTTTGTTCAGGATAAAATACCAAATAACCTCAAAGTCTTTTAATTTGTAAGTTCAAATTTGTTACAACCCCATAAAACTCCAAATGCAACCAAGAAGCAAATTGCAAGCAGCCAGGCACAGAAAAATGTCATAAAAAAAGAAAAGAAAAGAAAAAGCAGCAGGTGAAGGCAACATATCAAAAGCTGCGAATTATTTAGAGCTGGTACATTTTTTTAGGTTGTTGTTCCTGTATATTGAGATTTATGGCTGAAATGTGACAATGTGGAAGGACCTTGAAAGCCAAGTCCCATATGGGACACAGATGCTGAGCGGATGTAAATCAACAGTGTTGCATTGCCCTGGACAAGCCGCAGAAATATATCTTGAAAAATCAGTTACCATGGCAGAGCCGCAACACGATGGTTACAAGAGATAATGAAAATAGCAGGCAGGACAGCGTCATGTGTGAAATGGAAAGTGAAGAAGAGAGGTCTCGCTTGCTCGCTTTCTCTCCCTCCCTGCCCTGCAAGTGTCTCTGTGACTGGTGGTAACTGCTAATCAAAATGCAAAGTCACTGAGCAATTGAAACCAGATGTTTCGAACTTCAAAGGAGAGAAACCCAGCTGCAAGTGAACATTCATCATTCTCTACTCTTCTGAGGAAAAATTTTGGCAGGTCCTTGAAAGAAGCCAATTGCTGACTGCCTGCTTCCCAATTATTGAGTTACTAGCCAACTAGTTTTGAGCCCAGTTGTGGCTGTTACCTGTTTAACTCAGTAATTAAGATGTTTATTGCTGATAAGAAATAGAAGCAGCTGGGCGGGGCACGCATGGGCTTAGACCCTAACTTGAAAATATTTTTAATCAGATTGTTTTAAACCATCTCCTAATCTTGTTCCCAAGCAAGTGCGATTGCCTGGGTTTTTGCAGTCAGATCTGTAACATGCCTGGGTCCTCCCAGCAAAGGAGGGCTGTATCTTGCTGTCGTCAAGGACTGCTGCATGTAGCCAGCCTGGATTAAGCATGCAGATAATGCCATGGGCTATCTCTGCTCCCCAGGTTGCATCAGGGATATAAATGCCTTTTATGACATGGTGAATCCACAAGATTACAAGCCCTGCTCTGATTACAAGGCTGAATGTCTGTAGATTAATAAAGCTATGGATATTTGTAATTTGGCAGTTGAGTTTTAAACATTACAAAGTGCAAATTACTACCCAGACTGGGAAATGACCATAAAGCACCCTGCCTGGAAAAAAACATGGGCTGTTGCTACTGATATTGAAACTGAGCATGGACGTAGATGTAATAGAAAATTTGGACCAAAAACAGCACAAGAAGTTGAGGACAACAAACCCTTCTTACTCTCTAATTTGGAGGAGTGCAGTGGAAGGGCTGACAAGCGCCTGGTTGGAGGTCTTGTGTGACTGCCTCCCTTTATGGCAGTGATGCAGTGCTGTGATGCACCAGCCAGCAATAGTCTGCACAGATCTGGCAGCTGGAGACTCCTGGAAGCTGCAGAAAGCAGCAATGTGGGAGCTGCCCAATCACTTCATCACAGAGCCTCAGCTGCCGTTGCTTGCATGAAAACCATGGCACCTACTTCTCCCACAACTTATTAAGATGTTGTAAGATTTAAATTAAGATCTAATCTTGATTTAAAGTTTGGATAATTTACCATGGATTCCCAGTCGAGGAGGATATTTACCACTGACTTCAAAAGTGACAAATTATCATTATTCATTGTGTGTACGTGTGTTGTTGTGATTTGCTGTTAAGAGACTGTAATGCATCTTGGGGCATATCACAGGAGGAAATGGCAGTAAAGACTCCACAAAAGCTCTGTGCCTTTTAAGCTTTCTAGAATGGGAATTCCTACAAGAAAATGCCTTCTACAGATGTATTTATAAAATGGAAATCATACTTCTTTATCATTGACATCTGGAGACCAGATTCAGATTTAAGCAGATTATTAAAAAATAAAATAGATTAAAAAATGGGGCAACTAGCCTCTGGCACTGAAAAGTTAGCATCAGACCAAATGACCTGTTGGGTGCATTTTTTGCTTTTGGGGATGAAACTATGGAGCAATCATCACCACTGAGCCTCAGAGGGTTAGAGGCATAACCTCTACTGATCCCAGTGAGTGTGTTAGACAGTTTTCATCTCTGTATTAAAAACAGTGGTGGCTGCAAGGCATACCATGTCTGAAAAACAGGTGGTCAAAAGTGAAAAAACTTCCCTGGTCTTAGAGATGTCACAGAGTTAAATCCCCAGCCTTGTCTGCAAAAGGGTTTTCACAGTGGGTTCAGTAATAAAGGGACCATTGTTTTTACAGCAAAGCCTTATTGAGGCAGCTCAAGATACCTGTACTGGTCACTGCACCCCTCTTCTGCACCTCTGCTTCTCTTCCTACTTTTTGTCTTACTTATTGGGACCAGATAGCCCAAATGTTCTCTAACACACATGACTGGGAAAGGCTGCTCAACATCCAGATAAAATATCTGAAAGGTGTGTGAAAGGAGTTGGGGACAAATTCTGCACGGGGCTCTGTGTGAAAGCTTGGAACGGAGTCCATGCATTGCTGCTACATCCTGCATCACAGCCAGTTCTTTTCAAGGTGAAAATAAAAAGATGGGACCAAGCCACCCTGCAAGTTCTGACTTCATGGCTGCAGTCTCCCTGCCACGGCACGGCCCCGAGCTAGGGCAGCGGGAGGAGAAATAACCTTAAGTTTGCACCTTGCTGGTTTAGTGCCTGATGTGGCCCCAGTGCAGCCAGTGGGCAGAGATGTAGGGGTTCCTACCTGTCCAGTCACAGCCCAGCACCTCCAGACGCATTCCTATTCCCGCTGGGGACCACCTCTCTGGGTGCACTCGGATGTACTGTGCAGGAACAGGGTCAAACCTTCGGACTTCAGGGATATCATAGTGGATGTTGCCTTCAAAAAGCTACAGAGAGAGAAAAGGCAAGAGATATGTGCATCTCACATGCTCTCAGTCAAACCTCGTTATTTTGTGTCTGGCAGGACGTAGTCACGGTTTGAAATAGTTTGGCTCTCCAACTCCTGGCCATCGAGCCCAGCTGAACAGAAATTGGGCTGTTCCTTCCCAGTCTCAAGAGGACAAGACAGGCTATTTCTAAGAAACTTGCACAATCTCCCCTGGCTTCTGCTCAGAATCCAGAGGTCAGATTCTTGATCTAATCCATGCAGGGGAAGTCTGGGGAATATCCACTAACTTCACATATAAATGAGATCAGATTCATCCTTTGGTAAATAAAGAAGCTACTGCATGTTCTAAGATAGCATAAATGCTGGGTTTTCTTCACAGTCCAAGTACTGATGCTTTTCAGCTCACACGCACGAACTAAAGTCTGTGGGGAATAAACAGAGGGCTATAGATAGCATCAGCCCTCATTTGTAGGATCAGGAAAAAATAAAACTTACCTAAATTTTAAGCAGATGAGTTTGCATAAAAACAGAGCATGCAGTAGCAGAGAATTCATTTATTCCTCAGGCCCCCTACCACTTCATACCACTAAGCAGAAAGATTATGGGGAATTCCAACGATATAGGAAAAATATGGGGAATTTCAGGGTCACCTCAGTGTGGCAAAGAGACTTCAGATATCGTAAATTTCCCAGAGAGAAGTTGTAATTCATCTTCCTCTTTCAGAGGTGCACAGCATGACAGCCACATCTTTCCTCTTAAAATACTTAATTAGTTTGCGTCAAACGTAATTGAACACACCATCTTGTGGGCTCTGACCTGCAGGAGCTGGGAGAACCAGAAGGTGATGTCCACATCCCCATACCTGGTCCACAGAAGGAAATGAAAATTGCCATCCCTGGGGCAAGGTGGAACCCACAGCCTCTAGGACAGATGGGGAGCAGCACCAGGGGACACAACCTGGGATTTCATGGCGACAACCCAAACTCCCAAGGTCTCTGTGGGAGTGGACAGCCTATTTCCCAATATCCCATTGGGCAGACTGAAGCTAGCAGAAACATACCCTGTTTTGCAGCTGTACCAGACAGTGCCTACCTTGGCTTGCATTGTTTTGGGGTCCTGGATGAAGTCCCAGTCCTTTCCATTCATGCTGTAGGCCACCTTAAACTTCTTCACAAAGGATCGGGACTCAGTGGTGGTCACACTGTCCCCTCCACGAGCCCCCTGAATAATGACGCCTTTGATATTCTTCGGGACACCAAGGTCCACCTGCAGCCACTCCTCCCCAGGCTGGGCTTGGGGGATGCGGGGAAACCAGCCCGAGCGGCTGCTCACCAGGCGGGCCATGCTGGGAGACCAGTCGTAGCCTCGGATGGAAGAGGCAGAGATCTGCGAGTCAGGAATGAGGCCAGAAAGCATTCCCAGCAAGTTGGAGCAGGGTGAATCTGCAGGGAAGGAAAGAACATGAATAGTCAGAGCTGATGAAGGGAGGTGCTGGTGGTTCTCTCCACAGCTTTAAGCTCTGGACACTAAACCAACACCAACACTGGGCATTTCCCCCTTTGCAGCCAGGACCTGGGTGCCTGTCCCTCCAAGTGCATCCCACACCATAGGTGCCTCCATGCTGCTCAAAGTGTCACAATTCCCACCCCAAGCAGCCATGACAGTAGCAAGGGATGGAATCCCAGGACAGGCTGTTGTAGGGACAGAAAGGAGGGTCTGAGGCCAAGGGGAGGAGGGGACGCTCACCAGTGATGCGGCAGCCATACAGCTCCAGCCTCAGGGCGATGCCATTGTGCCAGGTCTGGGGACGGATGCGCACGAAGCGTGTGAGCAGCGGGCTGTGGATCTTGTTGAGAACCACCTCTGTGGCATCCTCGTTGGCCTGAAATGTCTGCAAGGGAGAGGAGGCACAAATACTGTTACATCCTCACCAGATCAGCAGTTAAAATAATCTCAGCAGGGAAAACCAAGGAGAGGCTTTCTGGTCGGGGACAGATTCCAACCAGGGCAAGCACTCAGGGGGTGGCAGGGAGATCTGAGCCACTGGCAGGACAGTATGATGGATGGACTCACCTATCAGGCAAGACACCGGAGAGCTTGCTGCCCCACTGCAGCGCCCCAAGGCACCTTGGACTATCAGTCCTCAGCTGCTTTGAGCTTGCCCCCAAACCTAGAGCTGCTCCAACACAAATGACCCGGTGTCCCCAAACGCAGTGAGAGATCTCGCCTCCCCTCCACGGGTAAACAGGCTGACATCCTGACACATCCTTGCACTGAGCTCCACCACAAAATATCATGTGCAAGCAGTGATGTGAGCAAGGAGGATACCACCTCTGCCTGGGGTGACAAGCTGCTGCCTCAGCCAGCCCCTTGCCTCTGCCTCTCCTGCACACATGCACCCTGCCACACAGAGACAGCCCACCACACAGAGACAGCTTTTTGGGAGAGTTTATGATCCCACGGAGTATGAAAAGGCTGCTGCCTTACCAGATGGCCATAATCAATAACTACCAGATGGATGTTAGATCCACCCCTTCTGCCCATTTTTTTAATAGACCGGACAAGGACTGCATACTTGTGTTTCTGTTTCAGGCTGCAAAGCCATAGCAGGGAAGAAAAGGAAATACTGAACCCAAGGATAATTTTCAGCCCGTTCTCTGCCCCAGCATAAAGCTCTATAGCTCACAGACTGAGGCTGCAGGCATTGCTGGCTCTCCCTCCAAGCACGAAGGCTCTTCAGGACAGGGCTAGAGCATCCTCGGTCTCAGCCAGGAGCCACATCCACACTGAGTTATTGGCTGGGTTCTTCTGCAGGCTCCTACCACGCATATGCGTGCTAAGCACAGGAGCTCCCACTAAGTTTATCTCAGAGGAAAGCAGGATAGTGTAATCTCTGGCACCAATCTCCTGTTGGAGGCAAGAGCCAAACGATTCAACTGCAGATCCCTGTGATCCAGGACAGAAAAAGGGGTGAGGCAGTACCCTGGCCTCTTGCCTTAAATAGCACTTAAGAAGCATTTTATAAGCCTCCTGTGGCTCTAGGCTTGCAGACAGCACATGTTACCGCTCTTCTCTCAGGATCCAGCCCACCAGGGTGTTTACAGGGAGGGACGATGGCTGTTTGCAGGACCCCGGTTAGCTCTGGGCTGATCCTGCACATCACTGCCCAGCCTGGGACAATGGCACTCCTTCAAGGCAGGGAGCAGCCACCCCACAGAGAGACTTGTTTGCAAATCTGGCTGGTAATTGGGATTTGGGCTTGATGTGAACTTGAGCAGAAATGCTAATCTAGAGAATATATATCATGCTGCTACCGTTTAGCAACACAGCATGGTTTATATGTTTTTAATATCCTATTTTATCCTGTCTGACCCCACTTCCCATCATTTTCCTTGCTCAGCAGACACCAAATAACCTTTTTTTCCAGCAGGAGGGCTATAAGAAGAGTGGTTACTGTGAAACACTCTCCAGGAATGCGTGTGTGTGTGTCTCTGTTTGTGTGTGTATGTCTTGTAAACCTGGGGCAACATACACACACAGAGTCTGAAAGTATATATTTACACACCACAGCAAAGCCTCCAGCGTTATGCCAACACAGAAGCTGACACACAACACCTTACCTCTGAACCTAACACCGGAGGACAGGAAATGTTTATCTGAGCTGGTGCAACTATTTTAGCACAAGGAGCAGTATGTCAGGTCAGGCCAAAGGTCCCTCTGTCCCAGAGGGTGGCTCTTGATGGTTGGCCCCAGCAGATGCCCAAGGGCAGCAAGTCCAGTGGAGTCTCCTCCTGGCAACCTTTATTCACTTCCTACAATCAGCAGTGTGAAGACTCCATGAGCCAAAGGTTGCATATGGACCAGCATGTTTAACAGTCACTGACGAGGTTTGCTGCTCTCTTTGATTTAACATATTTCAAGTTTTGTTCTTTTTTAGCTCACTTCGCACATACGAGCATCAGGGGCCAGAATCCAAATTTACACCAGCATAATTTGTTGCTGACTTCTGTACAGTCAAGCTTGACAGAAAGCAGAAGCAGGACTAAGCCCAAAAATTTTATCACTACCACATGCATTGCTGAAAGCATCTCTTAGATGACCCTGGTCACAACAACTTGCTTCCAAGGAGAGCAACCTCAATTCTGCTTTAGATTTAGAAAATGATAATTTACTCAGGCTAGATCACATTCAACAAGCTATGAACTCTGAATCTGGGCCATGACACTCCAGATTGCCAGTCTGAAAGGGCAGAATCAGCACCTGACTTCCAACTCTGGTTTCAGTTGCACTGGCAGGATCCATTGTACCTTCCTTCTGAAAAGCCCCAAATGATCACAGCAAGTCATCGCTCTGCACCCCATTCAGCACAACAGAAAGTGGCCATTTTCAGAGGGCATCTGCTTAGTGCTGTTAGAGACCTGGGGTCCTCCCGAGTGCCTAGTCCTTCCCAAGTGGAAATGCACTGTAAGCCCACAGGTCCTGATGCTGCTGACCAGGGTCTGACCCTGTGTGTGTGGTTTCTCTGCACTGAAAATGCCACCCTCATAGCCCCAGCACACCATGGAGAGAGTCCCATTGACTTGAACAGGCTCTACATCCTGCCTCAAATTAGCACTCACAGCATAGGAAGAACTAGCAGGAAAATGTGTGAAATTGGGAGTGCCAAGAAAGCAAAGATTTCTTCCCTCTTACCAAAATAGAACATTGCTATTCCTCCCATCCTCTCTGCTTCCCATCCCACTCAGCACATATTTTGAGCCAAGTCTTCGAATGGTGTAAATCAACATATCGCCATCGAAGTATAAGAAGTCACAGTAATTTACACCAGCAGGAAAAAAAATACCTGGCTGTGATCTAGGAAGATAGATAGATAAATAGATATACACTCAGCAGAGAGCACACATGCGTATGCACATGAACACACACTGAAAGGTGACTGTGCCAGAAGACGGATGGGAAAACCATTAACAAATTAAAAGCACCTTCCATGAAACAGCCAAGGGAACTCGTTTCCTCTGCTGCATCAAAAAGCTGCCCATCTCCTCCCCATATACTACATGTTTACTTCCGTTTTAGTGCAGACAGCAGGCCTACATGTAAAATTAAATTGAGAATCAATGAGACCTGACCTGCTTAATTAATTTGCTGCAGAAAGCAAGTGGTGGGAGATGTTGTCTAGGCTAGAGGAGGACTGGGAAAGTTTTCCATGTGCATACACATGCAAGATCCACACCAACAGAAGTTATATTTTTGATATGTTGGAACCATCGCAGGGTGATGGGGGAAATTCTGAAGCTACGTTAGTTCCAGTGGATATGGGAATTGTGCCATTGGTAGTTTGGAGTGAAGGGAGTGAAGGACAGGGAGACAAAAAGTACCATGAAGTTGAAGAGGCAGTGAATCACAGAGGGGAGAGGGGGTAACCTCTCCCCTGTTCTATTTATTATGCTGCTTGGCCACTGTGCAATTTCTTGGGGAGCTAAAGAAAGGAGCTGAGGGAGGCAGAGGAGAAGGCCAAGGTTGGCAGCAGCCCTGCCTTCATCTGTATGTATGTGTCTCTTTGGACCCACTAGATTTACTGCAGGATTATGTTATTCCTGTGGAGACAGAGCCCTGGAACAGAGCATGCTAACAGGATTAGGGCTTCAGGATTTAGACAGAGAAGCATGAAGGAGAAAAGTAGGGGAGATTATTTTCCTTGTCAGATAGGAAAGGCATAAAATGGAGTATGTTTGATGGTAGGAGAATTCTGGCTCAAGTGGAGGGTGGATAGTTCTGGATTTATTAAATCCAGGAACAAGGAGTTAAAAGAAAAATGATACTTGGCAACATTTAACAAAGCACAGCGTCTGGGCAAGGCACAGTGTGCTGGGTTGGGCTTGCCAGCTCCATGTCTTTGAGAGGCTCCACTCAGATTTGGGAGTCATCAGGGACGGGAGGAGTGGCACTGTGTTAGCCTGCAAAGGAGATATCAGGCCCAGAAATACAAAGCTTCAGCCTTGCTAGGAAAGCCAGGGCTGTAATTCTCCCCTGGTACTGCACCAAGCGTGAATGCGCAAGGCTGCCTTTCCCAAAGCCTGATGTCTTTGTCCTGCCTGCAAGAGCAGCAGAGGAAGGCTGGGACCTGGATGCTTCTGGGCAAATCCTCTGCACCGTGATGTCTCTGCGCAGAAACACTTGTGGCATTGTGGCTGATCATGCAAGCTTTTCCTGAGTTTTCCAAATAGAAACCCCACAGAACTGAAAGTTTTTCTCTCTCCCCAGGTGAATGAATACAGAAGACCCACTTAAGAACTGAAAGACAGAGGAACACTCCTAGGAGAAGGCACAAGGGTCTCCAAAGAGTCATCCTCAATACTGCCTGCCAGCACCAAACACCTCTGATGTCCCCAGCTCCATGTAGAGCTGAGATATTTGGCTCTTTGCAGCAATTCAACCTTTGTGCACCCACCACCTCAACTACCACCCAGAAACGTTAGCGGATAACAAGCACAAAGCCATCAAAATGGGTAGGAAATGAAAACTGTACAGTTGGATCTTGCTGTCATTTCGCATCCATTGACTTCTACAGGTTCTGGAAGCAAATGTTTCAGTTGCACATCCTCTCATTTTACACACAGACCAATGGAGGCAGGAAGAGCACTCATCGAGGTCCCAACCCCCCTCAAATCCTGAAATCCATTCCATCCCCCAGTCCCTCGCCCAGTAGATTATCTCAGTGAGCTGATCTCTGCAGTTATTAAGACAGAGTGGCTCAGACCACACAGGAGCTGGAACCTGAGACCTACAAAGAAGCAGGCAGATCAGAATGGATGAGCACTTTGTTTTTTGATAAAATCCTCATAGTTGAATCTGTCCGAAGAAAATGGACAATAATAAAAGGTCAAATCCTGCCAGGTGAAGAAAATGGCCAAAAACAAAAGGTCAAATCCTGCCAGGTGCTCTTTTCCTTCCTTGAGTTCAAGAAGAGTTGTTGTTTTCTAAAGACATTTTCAAACCACTAGATAAGATCTTGGCAAGCACACCAGAGCTGCTGCCTGGAAGATAACGGAGGTGGATGCAACAGGGAGGGCAAAAGCCGGACTAGCCTTTCTGCAGCAGGGTTTGTTTGGCCCTGTCCCATGGGGACATGCTAGTGAGTAATAAGGGGCGAGTATGGGGCAACACGTGGTGGTGGCCACTCTCCTCCCTGTCTCCTCTCTCATGTGACATAGGAAGACAACTCATCATCTTTGTCCGGGTCACCCACTTGGCCTCTCCCCCTGGTCTCACCCCTGAGGAAAGGACAGGGGGACATCTGGGATGTGCTGGGCTGGGTTTTGTGGGGAGCAGGCTGCCACACAGGTGGAAAGCCTGGCAGGGATGGGGTGGGTGGGAAGGGGTGGGTATGGGAGTAGGGCTCCATTCCTGCCGGCTGCGTTCCCACTGCTTCCCCATCCCAGAAACACAGCAGCGCTTGGCACGGAAACAGCCCAGCCAGCCGTGTCTGCTGTGAGCACATATTAATCACATTTTCCTCTGCTCCATCCTGCCTTTCCCGTTTCCCTTGCTGTGGAGTGCCAGCAGCTGGGGACTCAAAGGTGAGCCATCACATTTTGCAGGGAAACACCCTGGCTCAACTCTCATCTGAAATACCAGGGCAGTGGGGGGCATAAGAGAGGAGGTCAGAGCTCCCCATCCTCTGCAGAGAGCATCATCCACTCCCCACCCCTCCCACACTCACTGGTTTTCTCTTGCTTTAGCTCCCTGATGAAGATGTTAATGTTAGCTGACCCACCCATACATGGCAGAGCTTTGCTTTTGGCCCACAGAGCCGGCAGAAATTCAGGGCAGCGTTTGATACACCCCATATGCCTATGTGTGCGTGTGCATATACATGGGTGTATGTGCAGATATATGTATGTGTGTGTATATATGTATGTGTCTATATATATATGTATATATCTGCATGTATATACAGCAGTAGAGAGTCCCTGTCTGTCCACACTTTCCCCTCCCTCCCTGCTCCTTATGGCACCAAATCAAGCTGCGGCAGACTTGACAAATCTATTTGGCACGGTTCACTCCACCGTTGCAGCCTGAACCGTGCGGAGCACCGCACTGACGCAGGGAGGAATCTGCGCCTTGAATACAGACATCTGGGAGCTTGCCTAACGCAGGAACAGTGGGGATTAATGCGGGCAGGGAATATGGGGCCAGAGCCCACCGGCACCAGGCCTGCAAGCATTGCCCTGGCCTCACCACGGCTCAGCAGCTGGCAGACAGTTGTTTGGTCGGGAGGGAAAGCAGTCACTCGGATGCAAGGAGCAAGCGAGCCACCAAAAAGCAATTACTTATCCTCCAGCCTTGGGAGGTGTCTGCCAAATTGAGGCCAGAACGTGGGAACGAACTGAGACCGGAATAAAGGAGTAAAAAAGAAGAGGTTTGGGTTTTCCTCTTTTTTTATGAAAAGAGAAAACGGAGCAGAAAAAAACTGACAGGACTCAAGGCCAAATCCTGAAAGGGTGGCAATTCACGTGGCTATGGGATTGGTTTGGATTGACACCAACCAGGGTTTAGGGTCTTGCTGGAGCGATGTAAATTTGCTCAGCAGCATTGAAACCAGCCTGCTCTACCCTGGCTGAGGATTGTGTCCAATGCCCAGGACCTCAAGGATGGGATATTTATGCCTCTCTGCAACTAAAACCACCCTCCAGGCCAGATTCCCGCTACTGTTAGACTCCAAAAGGTGAATTTATTGCTAGCGGTTATTTGAAACACTGAGCTGTGTATTTAGCCCATCTCTCTGCCTAGCATAATGCCAGCCTCCTGCCTGTTTCAGCTTACAGAAATGGACCCAATGAGACCACAAACTCACCTATTAGCACAAGGTGCCTGCCTGAGGATAGATGGCTCTGGTTCACAGAAAGCTCTACTGTGACCAGTGGGTCCTGGGAGAGTCCCCACACCATGGCCACTGTGTTAGAGGTATGCATGAGCTCTGCCACGAGCTACTGCCCTGGAGCCAGTCCATCCGAGACTTGGGGCAGCCCAGCTGCTGACCCTCCTATGCTGTGTTGGGCTACCCTATGCCTCCATTTCTCTACCTCTAAAATAGGACTAACACCACCTCACTGGCATGCCAGGAGCTTAAATACTCCAAATATTGGAGGTATGAGACCCTGATAGGGACCTCTGCACAGAGACGACTCATTCTGGGAAGCAGAGGGAATCTGAGACACACATGTGGGGAAGGGGAAATCACAGAGCCCGGAAGGAAGGAAATGTCTGGATGAATCCTGGACAGGGCAGGCTACTGCATTTCATGTGAGAAGTGCCTGTGCCAGCAAACGGAGAGGACAGCTAATTTAACAGAAGTGCTGAGCAATCAGAAATTACTGGGACGTGCGTGTGGGGGGAGGTGTGTGGGACCCCAGGCACAGAGTTCACACAGACGGACTATGGCACATCAGCGGGGAGGACCCAAATGTGGCAGCAGAGCTGGTGGGCACCACAGAAGAGCAGGGAAGCACTTTCTCAAAGCACCCTTAACCAGCGGACAACCACACGACCAAGGCAATTGACAGAGCAGGACCAACCAGCCCAGCACCGTGGCTGCCTTGACCCTCCTGCCCATACAGCAAAGCTTCCACGCAGACCACACCAAGTTTATCTTTCCTGGCCACATACCAGCACCCCCAAGGCTTCAAACAGCTCACCACCTGTATTTACCCTCCCTCCCACCTCTGTGTGTGCCCCAGAAACACAGCAAGAGCATGCACAGCTCCCAGTGCTCAAAGCACCCTTGCTGACCATGCCTGCTAGCACAGATCCCACAGCTCTGGCAGCCTGAATTGCTTCTCATTATTTATTGTTCATTTTGTTCTCTGGGACAGTGTGATCGCCTCTTAGGATTTGTGCCCTTTCATTTCCAGGCCCCAGTAACTCCTGAACTACAGTTTCATGTGGTTTTGTGATTGTTAACCCAGCATGCAGACGGGTGTGCGACCATAAAAGCTCAATGAATCTTGTGTGGCAAAACACAGGCTGTGAAAGCATTTTCTCCTTCATTTGCAGTCAAAGAACATACTCTCACCACCACGAAAGATGCAGTAGCAGCCAGGTTTTCCAAGGAATATGTTTCGTCATTGCTGTGCAGAGGAGAAAGGCCTATTTCTGCTCAAAACATCATCAGTCTTTCAGCCATCATCAGAAAAAGGGTCCCTCACAGATTAAACCCTCTGGAACTGTAAAATTTCTCTGTTCTCTTCCCTCCTGTTGGCTGCAAGACTCACCAAGGTGCAAGCAAAAGAGACAAAAAGGTCATTACCTTGTGGTTTTTCCCATGTCGGTACATCATCCAGTCCTCCCCATTGGTGCTGACCTCCAGCTTGTAGGTACGGACATAGTAGCCCTTCTGGGTTTCTCTCGAGATGGCACCCTGTGTGGCAATGGCTGTGAGGACAGTCAGGAAGTGGAGGTCCACCTTTCAAGGGGAAAAAGGGACAAGAGAGAGAGTGATGTGAGAGCCCTGGGTGGCTAGTTAGTTTCTCCCTCTGTCTTTGAAAAACAAAAAGGTGCAAATTCAGCCTGTCTCACTCTCTCTGTAGGTGCTCAGTTCAACAGGCACAACCTCCCCAGGGTGACTTCAGTAGGATAAGAACCAGGATAATAACTAATGATCTTGATGTCCACTCATATGGGACCACCATAAAGCTTTCTTCCTGCCTCAGACCAAGCAACAGGATCTGCACAGATGCTCGTGTCCATTAAAGCAGGACAGAGACTGACTTTTTCCATGTAAAATAATCCAATTAGCAAGTGCTGCAGTTCGTGGTTTTCCCTTGTTGGTTTTCTCTCTCTCTTTTTTCTTTTTTTTTACAACGTGGGTTGAGAAAGGTCAGCAGAGCTGGCTTAGTAGCCCTGCCATGAATGAAGAATGAGACGTCTGCTGGAGGCAATGACATTCACCACCTCCTGCTCCCAGTGCCCTTTAGCAAGCAGTGTCTCCCGGCAATGTGACACAGCCAGAAGCCCTGTGTGGACAGACTGTGGCTCTAACCAGCTCGCAGGGAAAGCCTTTGCTCTGTCAGCCCCCACCTGACATTAGCCTGCTCATTCTCCCTGCATCACTGATGAGATAAATATTATTCTAGTTGTTTTTCCACACACCCCCTGGAGACTTTGGTCCTCAGGCCTGTGATGGAGTCAGTGGCCCTTATAAGTGGTGGAGGTCTCTCAGCCTCTGTCAGTCTGCTGGAAAGTCCATCAAGGTTTTGGGCAGGAAGGAGGGGGTGGGAGAGGGATAGAGGATTGAATCAGTCCTTGGGCGGGCAAGCTAATGGAAGAGCCAGCCCCTTGCACTTCATGGAGGCACTGCAGCTCCCCTGCTGTTTGCTCCCCATGAGCCACAGAGGCAATAAAAAATTCAACAAGCCTTATGGTCAAGGGTCAGTTTAACAGCATGACACTCCATTTGGTGGGGGAAGAGGCGAGGAGGCTGGAAAGGGTGCATACCTGGAGATACTCTTTGTTGCTGTCGACATTGGGGGTCCAGCCATTGTCATCACTGTTGAGGCGGCTCTGCTGAGGGGTCCATCGCCCATCTGAGTAGGTGGAGGAGGCACTGATCTGCATGTTGGAGATCCTGCCAGACTCCATCCCCAGAGGCACATTGCACTGGAAGTCTAGAGCAGACACACATATACACAGAGATAGGTTTACAGCCTCAGTACTTCACCCTCAAATGAAAAGCAGCCCTGAACTAATCTCCCCAGCTAACCCTGAAGCAAAGCTGCCTGTCTGGAAAGATGAGCAGATCTGCACCATCTTGAAGGCTCTGCGTGCTCACAGATGGCACTGAAAAGCTTTATGTTTGCATGGCCCTCTGAACATTAATACAGTCCAGATCTTTCTTTCTCTCCTTCACCTTTGCTCAGTTTTGACATAATTCTGTCTCTTCCCTCCCTCCACCTCCACCAAGCTCTCCCAAGTCCCCTTGTCACAAAGTTCCCATCTTCTTGAAGGCTGCAGGTGAAACCTAAGCACTGATAAGGTAAGGGGTACAGACAGACACATCAGGAGGGTGCTTACTGATGTGCTGCCTGCAGGAACATCAAGGACTGGAATGGGCAGGTCTAAAGGTTTTGTGTGTGTGTGAGAGTATGGATGTGTGTCTGTATTGTCTATGTGCATGTGCTATAGGCGGTATCAGGCCCACAGGAATTAACCAGACAAGGCTATGAAAGACTCTGGTATGCTTTCATTTGGATCTCCTCACTTCTAAAGCTTTAAAAGTCAAAACTGGCTCAATTTTATGGCACATCTCACATATTTTACGGCAGCGGTCCGGTGACTGAAAATATTGCACGAGGCCAAGAGGGCTGCTGCTGTAAACCAGTGGGGCTCCACTGAACTGCCTGTGTTTTTAATGTGGCTAAGTCAACCTTGGGTGGAAGTGATGGACCAAGTTAAGATGTCAGTGGTATTATTAAAGTTTCCATTTACACCACCATAAATAAAAACAGGCATAGCCCTTTAGCACCTCCTATGCTTGATTTTTCAAGCTTTAACATCTTATTCCCACATACTTTTAAAGAACAGAATAGAGGAGGGATTAAAGAACAGATCAACTGAGTAGGGCAGTAGGTAATAATGAAGAGCTCATGCTTGTCCGTAACTCTCACAGCCTCAGCAGTACTTCCCTTACTCAGTCACAAAGCAAGAGCTTGTAACCCTACTGCCCTAGTGCTGCACAACCCCTACTCTACCCTCTGTCTATCATAGGCTTTCAGCAGCGGGTCAGGGACTCCTTCTCCTTCTCTGGGACTGAGGGGTGTACTGAAGGCTTCTTCTGCTGTATCACAATTCACTGAGAACAGAGGTCAAGGACAGTAGCTCTGATGCAAAAATACCAAGGGAAAACAAATGAAACCTTTCCTGGCCTGGCAGTGTTATCACAAAGAATCAAAATGCTCTTCATTCTCAAAATACACAACTTACTTCCTCACTCCACATCAATTTACCTCCCTTATTTAGGGTTATAAAACAAAATTTGGCTTGAAATTCTCAGAGCTTTAAGCATTTTTTAATTAGAAAGCCAAGAAATTCCAATTTGTGGTTTGGGGCTGTGAATCTTTGGAAAACTAGAGAGAGAGAGAGAGAAGAGAGAGAGAGAGAGAGAGAGAGAGAGTGTATTTTCCCCCATGCTTTAATGAATCTGCTTCACACAGAAGTCTTCCTGGGCTGAGCATATCCATGAAGGATTCTAGCCCAATAGGTATTGAGAAGACTTCAAAAGCAAGTGAAAAGTCAAAAAAAAGTCAGAAAGTGCGATTCTCACTGAAGTCTCATTTCTATCAGAAAAACTGTACACACCTAAACTGCACTGATGGTGGGGAACCAGCCCCTGGACACACTGCTGCCTGCACGTGCCAGATGAAAACCAGGAAAAACAGGTGACACAACTAAGTCATACACCCACATTTCCAACTTACTTTCTGGGACTTCCTGATGTATCAAGTAGTACTGAGCAGAGAAACCATCCTTAGCCACAGCCAGGTCCGTGTGGAAGGTGAGAGAGAGGACGCCGGTGGTTGAGCGGATGTCCGATGGCATCTTAGTGCCACAATACCTGCCTATCAAGGGGCCGACTGCAAAAGAAAGAGCAGCAAAGGTAATGCCTACTTTTCCACTAGCCTCCTGGATCATCAGCAGATGGGCATCACTCAGCAGGGATGCCTTAGTAGGACCGATTGGGATAAAAGAAAGGCTGTAGGGATGGGCTATTTTTTATATCCACTGGCCTGGTGCCATGCAGTATGCCATGCAGAAATATCCACTGCAGCAGGCACTGCTCTGCAAATGCTGGGAAATGCTCCAAAATGCTCTGTTTCTCTGTGGTACAGGGTAGCGAGGTTCTCCCATTATTGCATGAACCCACTGCCCTTCCCTGAGGGAAGACCAGTGGTATGTTGGAGTGTCCCATGGGGCTTTTCACATCAGTGATTACAACAGAGCAGTAGTTTGGGGTTTAATGAATGCAGCCTTCTGTAAGCACACTGTCCCCAAGCTGGCCATGGAGTGCCCCAAAAGCAGGCTGCATGCTGCAGGCACCTTTGAGGTTAAACACCTTCGGTGTTCAGGCACAGACTGCACAGTTTTGGAGCTTTGTGAAACACTAAGAAAGGTTGAGGATAGCAGCACAGCACTCCATGGCTTACCCTGAGGAATGCCATCCCAGATGTCCAGCCAGTCGTACTTGCAGTCTCCTTCCCCTGCCTGCAGTGGGTCGTGCTCGAGGTCAAAAAGCACGAAGTGGAGGAGGATTTCTGTCTTTGGCTTGGCTATGATGGTGAAGACACAGTCTAGGTTGTGTGGATACTTGTCAGGGAAACCTGGAGACTCAATAGTGCCGTTGGAGGCAGTGAAGTTTCTGGAGCAGTCCTCAGAGCCTGTAGCAGCAGGAAAAAACCCAGAGACTCAGCAACGATGCAGCTTAATGCCAACAACTTGACACTGTGGAAACCCCATTTTGAGCTTAGCAGGGCTGTGTATTCACTTCTGGAAATGTCCTGTAAAGAACTATGTGAATTCCTTCAAGAAGTGAGAGGGTGATTTTCAAAGCTTTCCACAGGTGGAGAGCATGGTTCTAAATCCCTCAGACAGCTTTGCAAGCGTAACCTGTGCACCACTGCTGATCCTCCCTGACAATTACCTCAAAACCAAAGGACTGAAAGAGTGAGCCAATCCAAAGCCATGGCTGCAGTTTGGCAGGTCAGCATCCTGCCACATCCCCCACACTGGTGGTGGTGGAAAGGAAGGCCACACTGAGCTGGCCTGGCTTCCCCAGCTGGCCCTCTCCACTGTAACCTGGTCCCCAAACACTGACCTGCCAGCAGACCTGTGTGTGCTGCTCCAGAGCCTGTGGAGATGCCAGCCAGCACACAGGGAGCTGACACGTGTAGTCCTCACTGACACAGCTGCCATCTGCAGCCATGCAAGTAAAGCGTCACAGCAGTTCCAGGTCTGATGGAGGAGCCTCTGTTCAGGGAGTGGGATGTCTGGGATGGGGCAGAAAGGAGTAACAAGATGTATTCTTTCTGGAAAAGCTACCCCCAGGGGCCAGTCTCCTGCAAACATCACTCTTCAGGCACCCACATTTGTGCCTCAGTTTCCTCTTGAGGAAAATCAAAGACAAATATTTACCCAGTGAAAGGGCCTGGGGAAGGGTGCCAATGTCTCCACTGTTAGCTGTAAACCCTCAGGAAGTGCACAGTTAGCCTGCAGCCCCCTGAGACCCACGCAAGGGACATGGGCCAGCTCCAGCATACATCCCCAAAACGTGGCTACAGCAACAGAGGGGTAACAGGGCCATGGCAGAGGGGTCTCTACTGAGAACAGTAACAGAGACTTCTTTTTCACAGAACGAGCCATCCGCACCAGAAATGCAAGTTATTTCTATCCTTAAGGAAGACCTTTGCGTGGTGAGGAGGGCAGACAATGTTGCCTCTTATTTGTTGCTGACCTCAACACTGGCCTCAACTGCAGCCAGGCCTGCTCCGTGCCCCCTCTCACAGAGCCAAGGTGCCTCGGGGTGGCTGGGGAAAGGGGAATTTGTGTGGTATTCATACCACGGTGACTTTGAAACCCTTTAGCTGTGGACAATAGACAACAGAAATCTGCAGCCTGGAGCTATCAGAGGAGAAGGGGGATGTAAGAGAGGCTGCTGGCCACTGCTGCAACCCGGCACTAGCATTCACAAAGGTTTCTGCTTCACTTTTACTGGGACACTCTCCTTCTCTTCTACAAACCCTTCTGCTCCAGCTCTTCCAGGCAGCACAAGCCTTCCTAGGACTAATGGGAGACTTGTTATTCAATTCAGCATTAACCTACAGGAGTCAGGCCAGCAGCCCGCAGTAATAGCAGGATCTCACACTGCATTATGCAGTGCCTGGCTGGAGAGCTACTCAGGAGAGGCTCTTAATTGACTATCTAATGAAGCAGCCAGCTTTTCTGGTGTGAACCTGTGGGGTAAAATGCAGAGTCAAAAAATAAGGCCAAACACAAATCACAGCATAATGCCATGAACAGGGATAAGGGTGCACTTCGTTCCAAACAACTTAAAAGACAAACAGATAAATAGGGAAAATAACACAAGCTCCGAGCTAGGGAGAAAATCAAAGACTAAATCCAGAGTCAGGAACTGTCCTCTAGAGACAGGAAAAAGACGTAACTATGTCACCGCATTAGACAACAGTTTCCTCATGTGGGGCTCTTATCGCATTTGGCATCTTTGTCTACATTTTGGCCGATAGCAGCAAACACAAAGATCAGCTTTTTATAAGGAAGCTGCAGATAATCAACGGGATTCATGCTGGCTTCGGCAGCAGGGCCAGCCTGAGAGACTTTGATGCCCAGAGCTGGAGAGCTCAGGCCAGCCCTGCCAAACTGACTCACAAAGGGAGCAGCAGGGAGGCTGGACCAGCCAGGGCAGGCAGAGTTCTTTTGTCAGCCCACAGACCGCTGACTGATACCCATCAGGGGACTGAAGACTGGTATGTGGTTGTTTGTATGCAGATTGCTCCTCTCTCACACTGTGATAAAGGAAATGTAGCACAAGGTGTGGAAATAGATGCTCGATTGAAAAGACTTGGCTTTTTAGGTCACCTTTAAGAAAGAAGGAATCTGCAGGCACTGCTGCCTTTACTGATGTGGACAATGACAATCTGATGACCTTTAAAGCCGGTGACACCCTTGCTGGTTTCCCTGACAGCTCAGACAGAAACTTGGCCCGTGCCTGCCTGCCTGCCAACAAAAGGCAAGGTTTGTTTGTAGTGTGGTAGCCTCACAGCCATCACTGCCCTCTCTGGGAGCCCTGGCAGGGACAGGGGCTGTGCAGATGTGAGATGGGATCAATCACAGGCTCATCCACACTCCTCTGCCCAAATCTTCCTTGTCAGGCTGGATTTCATGGGGTGCAGCTGGAAGAAAGCATGGCTGTTTCTGGAGAGGATGACTGTCTGCAGGGGGACCAGGGAGAGGAGGCAGCAAAAGGAGTCCAAATACCACTTCAGACCTGAGGGCAGTGCTGCAGGAACCTACATCAATGGACACAGACTGAGCTCCAGCCTGCATCCAACACTTGCTCTCTTTCAGATCAGCCCTTGCTTCCACTCCTTCCTACCAGCAACAACATCTCCTTTCCCCAAGAATTTGGTGCCTTGCTGGCTCCCACCTAGACAGACAGAGTTCCTGTCTGCCATTCCTTCCCAGAGCATGGCCTGTCCACCTCAGCCAGCTGCACCACCCCACTCAGGTCAGTGGGTGCCCCGTGCCCCAGCTCAGGTCAGGCACAACGCAGCACAGTGTGCTGGGCTCATCACGGGTGTGTACACAGAATGAGAAGCAAGGGGGGCTGAGATGGGTCAGGAGTCTTCCCACCTGTACACAGGCATTCTTTGCCATCCTCTGTGCTGGCAACTGGCTTTAGCAAACCCCAATAGCCAGCTGAACCACTAAATGCTTTCAGGACTAACCTGCATCCTAACCATCAACTAACAGCAGTGGTGAACTGGCTGAACAACAGCTCAGTGGCCAGTTATGCGGTCCGGGCAATCACCAGCAATAGCACTTTCCTCATCCACCTGAACCTTCATACACCTCCTGTCCTCATCATTTCACACTGAATTTAGGGAGTCTCATTCTCTTGCAGCAAAGTCTCCACATTCACATCTACCTGTGGCCAGGCTGTGGGCTGTCTGAACACCTCTGCCTGCTGCACAGATGGGACAGGGCGCCCCAGGCCCCTGGTGCCTGTGCTCCCCATCTTTTCTTTAAAGAGGCTGGATAAGTAACCCTGTTGTGCTCCTTTCTGGTTCTTCACAGGGTGTAGACATTTTTTTTCATGCTGGCTGCAATGACATGAAAGCCGCATGTGTGATTTCTTCCAACACACCACCAAAGGAATGTGGGCACAGGGCAGGCGCCCACGTATCCATGCAAAACACACTCCTGTTCCCTTGGCACGCAGGCACACGGCTCTCGTGTGCACATAGAGAGGGTTTTATTTTCTCAAGCCTCCTTCTTCCCAGACACAAAAATTCTGGCAAATATTTAGACAGAAACACTATTAAAATGCCTTTGAGCAGCTTTTCCTTTCCTCAATAATAGTTTGGTATTAAACAGAATTATGAATAGTTCCTCTTATATCAGCCTGTAAAGGCACTGCCTCAGAGCTTGACAGCATTGCTGACAGCAATCATTTAAAAACCAGAGCTCCCCAGTTACAAACCCCACTTCCAGGGAGAGAAAACACAGTCATTGATCAACCCTGAATTGCAACTCCACAGGAGGGGGAGCTCCATGCCCTTCTAAAGAGGGACAATCCCCCTAGCACTAACAAGCTCCACACCTCAGGGAGAAAAGATACATGTTTCTAGTCCTCAAATACAAAAGAGCATTTTAGGAAGAACTCTGCTTTTACTGCCACACTGTGATCCAAAAATGCACTGTAATGTGCCACTAATATCTTTACCTTCTTGGAAATGTGATGCACAGGTTTGCTTAAATTAAAAAAAAAAAAAAAGTCCTTTATATCTGGATAACATGCTAGAAATCACATTGAAAACATGGTCAAAGACATCGTCTTGTGAACAGAATTATGACGAACAGCCCAGAAGACAGGCACTGACTAAGACACTTACCTGTCTTGTAGATCTCATAGCGCAGAGAGAAGCCGGCACCTTGCCGTGCGTAGTCTGAGGTGAACTTGATATAAAGAGAGGGGCCAGAAGAGATGATAGTAGGAGGTGCTATGTTCCCACAGTGCTTGCCCAGCAGTTCTGCTGCTTCACTGTCCCCATCTCGGATCTCTATGTAGTCATACCTGCGGAGGCAGGTGAAATGGCAGTGAAACCATCTGTCAAGGAGCCGCTTCAGGATGCCAGCAACAAACAAAAACCACTTCTTGGTATCTGCATGTTTCACGGAACATCTTCCGGACAGGTACCTGGGACTCTCTTATTCACACCACACCACAGCCCCCCAGTACATTTTATCTCTTTTATCTGGCTATGGTTAGGTCCCTTCCTCTGTTGCAATTCACATAATTTATTGCGCACACATCCACTCCAACTTTAGAGCCAGTATGCAAAATTTAGGACATAATTTACCTCCATTTCCACAAAACTCCTTTAGCATGGGAGAAGCTCAGATACAACTCTCCTGGGGCTACTCTCCTCCTCCTCTGACCTCTCTCCTGAACTGCCATTGTGCTATTTGGCACAGCTTACTTTATTCCAGTATCCATGTGAGATTTGGCCAAGCACACTCCAAGCATTAAACTGTCAATGTTCAATCCATGTGAGCAGGTAGGACACCACATTGGTCCTTTAACAAGCACGGTCAGTACACTCAGTTAGCACTTGGACAGTAATTTCTGTTAAGTGTTAACAAAGATTTTCTGTGGATGAGAAGTGCTGCGTAAGAGCTGGGTAACCGCGCTCACTCCCGCTGATTCCTGTACACCCTGTAACTGCAACCTGCCTTTGCTAAACCCTACTTGGAGATGTTCCACCTTCCCACTGGCATGGTTCCTGGATATCTGACTGGTCTAGTGGAGGGTTAGAAGAATTGCCTCCTGGTGCAGAGACAAAAGATTGTTGCAAGGTCTGGATGGAAGGTGAAACAGATTCCTTCATATTTTCTAGGCCATGACTAGGCAAGGTAGTAGTATCAGGCACCGTGTGTTGTGAAGAAACAAACAGCTTTTACGTGTACATCTTGTTCTTCAGCTGCTTTCTAACACCCACGTTCTCCTGCTCCTCTCTTCCTCTCTGGCCAGCATGCTGCTATTTACAGAAACTGCCCATCTCTCTTTGACTGTTTATTCGCTTTGTATCAACCTGTTTGAACAACATGCTACAGCTCTTCTCACAGGGCCAGGGTGGGAAAAACCATTTCCAGGCTGCCAGGAATCTGCCTTTCTTCTTTGTCACAAGATCTTCTGTTTGGGAATGGAGAGTTGAAAGGAGAAGTAGCTCGCTGGATACAGAATGATCCTCATGTGACTCATTCCTGTTCTGCAAAGCGCATATCGGCAAGCAACAACCTCAAAACACACTTACAGGGACTTAGTGTGCTCCTCCACAAAGAAAGATGGCCTGGACAGCTTTGGTTTCACTCCTTTCTGGGACTAAATCAGGCTGAGAGCCAGAAGCAAAATTCCTGCAGATAAAATCCCGCCTATGCTGGAACTGAGCACTCAACTAGCTGCAATTGCCCAACCTTTAACTTCATTACAGACTCAGTTGGCTTGGTCAAGGTGAAATTCAAGCAGTCTTGAGAAGTGGCACTCAAACAGGAAGAGCATTTGGCTTAGCTGGTGCGTGGACACACAGCGATGCAAAGGAAGACCTGCTCCCTCTGCTCTCTCCTCAGCTCTGCCTAACTCCCCATCACCTTGTGACCCCTTATTGCCCTGACACCATTCAGCAGCACCCTGCACGACCCCCCTAATGTCCATCATGTGCAGCTTGATACTACCATCTCCCCTGGGAGGAGGAACAGAGAGGCCAGTGTTAGTGCTTCTTCTAAGAAGATTTTTTTTCTCCTTGTTTGTCTATTTGTTTAAAGTAGTACTGAGCAAACAGCAGGGACATTTTGTTCTCTAAACAACCACTTGCTTTCAGCGTGCTTGCAACCCTTTCACATCCGAAGTGCACATCTGTGCCGCAGGACTACTGGCTACTCGTGAAATTGTGAATATGTGGCAAAAAATTAATTTGGCAAAAACATGAATGTTGGCAAAACACAGTTAATGGAGTTGGATTGTAAAAGCTGCCATTTGCATGGCACAGGCAGAGGTTAGCTGCATCCCAGGGAATCACATCTGCTTGTGTCCTCGTGGGGTTGTTAACTCGCCAACACAGTACATGGCTTCAACTACTTGACAGAAATGATCACAGCTTCTGCTGTAGCCAGCACACCAAACATCCTAGTGCTGTCCACATGGCTCCTCAAGACACCCAGTGCTGTAGGAGCATTGCAATTTCAGAAGCAAGTTCTGGACCAAGAAGTATTTGTTTATTGAATGGGTGAATGACTTCCAATAATACATACAATTTGGGAATATTGCAATCTGCTCATGGGCAATCTGCAAATGGAAAATTGAAAGAACGAATCTAGTAAATAAATCATCAGGAAATATTTGCCTCTCTGAGCTAAACCCTCTTTGGCTTCATTCACGCATCTAACTGAGCTTTCTCATACTGTAGCTAATCCTTAATAAATCAAATGTTAAAAACAACTAAAAACAAGCCCTCAAGAGAAGGTCAGGGAATCATTTTTGCCAAATGTAAAATGAACATAAATGCATAAGTTTTCTTTCCTAGTTAAAAAATCTTGGCCCAAGTCCTCTGCTCTTTATGAGGCAAAACTCTTTTTTCAGGCCATATAAACAGAATGTGAATTGAGGAAGTATTACCCTTGGGAGATAGCTCCTACCCAGATGAGCAGGAGCATCTACTTCCTTTCCACCACAGCAAATAAGCTTTAGGCTTTTAAAATGAACCACTGAAGACATCCAGTCCAAACTGATAAACTTCCAAACTTCAGCAAGAATGCCAGCTAATCCCCACCACAGATTCTTTTGGAATCATGTGCTTCAGACATGTAGCCCTCAATCAAACAAACTGATAAACCTTGTTCTCCTCACGCCAGTTTGCTGGACATGTTACAATCTAATTTGGCTAAACCTTTGCTCCTGTTAAGCTTAAGCATGGTTTCCAGACTTTCTGCTTCTCATGTGAAAAAGAAGAAGAAAAAAAAACTGGAAAGAAGAAAACCCAGCCCTGGGGGTGCTTTGTACTCTAACCATTTCATTTTCAGATAATTACAGACTCGGGCACAGCTGGGTGGGACACATTCATGCTGCAATGGCATCCAAACTGTCTCGTACAGTGCCCAGCAATTTGCATTGTTTCAGTCATCATGCACCAACATCCTCGTGGCCTGACCTCTCTCCGGCATTACCTCCACTGGGCAAGCTGCCACCTCCAAGCACATTTCATGGCCACTTCTCCCCACCTAGGCACTGCTCCAATGAGTCAAGCATAAACATGTGAGGGCAGGATGCAGCCTCCATAGCCCACAGGGGTAACCAGTGGATTTTTGCAGGGAAGGTGACCACAGCTGGCTGCTCCTCCAGTGGCAGGATATTCTCAGCTGCCACTTGACTGGGAAGGTCAGTGAGTTGGTTTGAAACTGCCTCAAAGAGCTTTCCACCAAGGAGCTTTGAGACAGGGAGGCAAAGCTGAAGTGCTTTTAACTGCCCAGACAATGGGGATTGAGAAAGAAAGGAAATACATTGCTTAGATGCTCTTCTTGGAGCTGTTTAACAGAATTAAACATTAAATGTACAATGCTTACAAATCGCGCTGTGTTTTTTTGCAGATTTTTAGTAGAAAGGGCTTTGCTGATGTTAAGAGAGCTTTTATTAACTAATTATAAAGCACTTCTAATGCCTGTATTACTCATGCTTGTTTGCTTGCTTTTTCCTCCAGTCAACCTCTCTGCTTCCATGTTTTTCCTTTCTATTTTCCCTAAGTCACTTTGCTGCTGACTCTGCAAATGAGGTGCAACAAAGGCAAACAAGCCCCAGTTGCAGGGATTATGAGAAGACCTTCACCTTTTCAGTCCTTTTTTTGTTGTGAAATAGCTAATCTGCTCTCTGGCCATTGAGCTGTGCTCCATGATCCCCTGGGGCCAGCACAGACCTCCCAGGCACTGCTGAGTTCCAGAAACACTACAACCCACCTGGGGAACAGCTCTGGGTGCTTCTCTTCTGAGGGACAGGACCCAGCACAAAGCGATTCTGTGATTCATACTGCTCTACACATAACCAACAAATCTGTTGCTCCTCAGCCCCAGGTCATAAGAGATGCTGAGTTCTTCCCCACTGAAAATACTTCAAAGGCTTTACAGGGACATTAGCTTAGACTGGGGAGAAATACAATCAACAAATTATTTATGTGTTCACAGTCCTGTTGTGAGCCCTCCCAATACGCAAACTTGTGCAAGCCTTGCTTCAAATTCGGCTTGAGGAAGGCTGGCTTCCCAGGCCAAGCTCTGACCTACCTGGCAGCTTTCTCAGTCTCTTCCTAGAGTGACAATTTGAAGTAGATGAGGACTTGCACTCAGCAAAGCCTGTTTTCCAAAGCTTGCCAGGGCTGGAGAGAGTTGCAAGGCTCTAACCTGAACTTCCCCAATGTTTAATTTGGAGCTATTATTTATAGGCGTTTCCATGGGGCTCATGACTGCAGTTGGCAAACAGTAGTGATGGGATTCTCACGAGACCCTGGGAGGTAGGAAGGCTGAGAGGAGCAGTGTCTGGCCCAAGGTCACACAAGAAGTTTGCAGAACAGCCAAGAATAGAAGCCAGCCTCCATTGGACAGATTATATTATATTGGAGAAGTCTGGCCTAGATAGACAGAGAGACAAATAGGTACTGACTGCATGCCAACAATCCCAAATTTGGGAATGCCCAGTGCTGACTTGAGCCTTCAAGACCCCTGACCTGCTTGAACCACAGTCACTGTATCTTGAATGCATCTGCTGAGGACAGGAAGAGAAACTGCAAATTCTAGTGAAATTCGGCAGTCGTTAATACTCTGCAGGTGGCTGGGGAAGATCTGTGCTTAGCCACAATGGCAGCTGCTAAATGCAATTGTTTCCCCTTTGAAAAAGTGGTTTGTTTCTCAGAAATTGCTGTAAAAAGCCATAAGGGGGTTTCTTAAAAATTAAATAGCAGTTGCAGTATAGAGAGAGTTAAGAAACAGTGAACCTGCATCTCTGTGCTTGCTTTGTAATCAAGGGGTGGCTAGAAT